GGGGCGGAGGAACCGCACAAGGAGTGAGGGGGAGGGGGGGGGCGACAGTCGCGCGTGGGGTGGGAGCTCGAGTGGGGTTGAAGCGCGGCGGGACGGGTCGTGTCGGGTGCGGTCGGGCGGGGCGGTCCGAGACCAAGCCCGGTGGCAATCGCCAATCGGAAGCATCGTGATCGAACGGTGCAGAGCCACTCAAAGTACTCCGTGCGCTCATCAAGAAGCATATGGCTAGCCCAAGACGAAGCTGAGTAGTAGTATCGGGTGGCGTTTGAAATCAGCTGAACTTGATTTCCTTCCAGCGCCCAATGCCGCACCAAAAGGTGTGCTCGGACAAGCCGCAATGGGGCAACATGACCTGGTTTGAGCTCCCAATTTCGCAGCGAAAGGTGTGCATCGAGATTCAGCAACGGGGCAAGTCCTTCAGGCCAACGCCAATCGCAATCGTTTCGCAGTTCCAGTTGGGGCGAAGTTCGGTCTTCCTCTTCGTCATCGATCGGCGGCGAGAGGCGGCGAGTGGTGACGCGAATTTCAACCGAAATCGCGCCACCCTTTGTGCACTTTGAGCAAGAGTCGCTCCCCTCGTCTCTCGCAATGTCCAATGATGTTGTTGTGACGGTTGAATTTTTGCCGATTTCTGTAAGCGTCCATTTTTGAATAGGTTTGGAAACCACCGAGGGTACGATTCCACATAATTCATCCGACGGAAACGAGGCGATGGCACCTGATTCGGGGAGCAGTGGGGGGGGGGGGGGGGGTGAGGATTTGGTTCTGAAGAAGGTCTCAGTTGTTTCGAGCGTCCCGCCACTTCTTGGGCTCGCTCGAGTTTCCGGTTTTCCCGACACAATGAATTCTTCTTCGCTGGTCCGAGTGTTCGCGCTCGGTGCGTGAGAGCCCTCCTCACCCATGCCCTCCCTTCGGAGCCGCGTGTATGCCACCACTTGGGTGTCGTACGCCAGCCTCTACTGTGCACGCAAGCCCTTCTCTGTGGTTAAGGCCGAGCTTCTGTCCCAGGGCCTCTCCAGGACCGACGTTGGAAACATCGACACCGCCTTCTTGGCAGCTTACGCGGGCGCACAGCTTGTCGTCGGGCCCTACGGTGACCGGCTTGGCGTGCGCTGCATGCTGAGCACGCTGATGGCCGCGACGGCGGCGGCGGCCTTTGCCTTCGCGTGTGTGCCGGTACGTGCCCTGCCGCTGGCTGGGCTGTGGCTGCTGAATGGCGCGTTACAGTCGGCAGCCTTTCCGCTCTGCATGAAGGCGCTCAGCCCGATCTTTGGCCCGAGCGAGCGTGGCTCGGCCCTTGGCTGGTGGTCAACGTGTCAGAGCATCGGCGGCGTGGCCGGCTCGGCGGTCGCCGCCGCGCTGCTGTCGTGCGGCCACGGTTGGCGCGCCGCAGTTGGCGCACCCGCACTAGCGGTCGGCGTCGCGGCCGGCCTCGTCGCCCTGGCGCTACCGGAGAGCGCAGCGCCCGCGCGGGACTGGCACAGTGAGCCCTCGGCGCGTCCCGCCTCACCCGACGCGACGCCGCGGCTGCTCACGGTCGCTGCCACCCACCCGCATCTGCTGCTGCTCGGCGGCGCATACGGCCTCGTCAAGCTCGTGCGGTACGTCGCGCTCCTCTGGTTGCCCCTCTACCTGCATGAGGAGCAGGCCCTATCTCCCGCGGCGGCCGGCTTCCTCTCGACCGCCTTCGACGCGGGAGGCGCCCTCGGAGGCGGGCTGTGGGGCATGGCGGCGGACCACCGCTCGCTGCGCGGCAGGCGAAGAGACCGCCGCCTCGCGCCACGGCGTCCTACCCGCCGCGAAGAGACCGCCCCGCCCTCGCCTGACAGGCGCGTCCACCTCTCTCTGCCTCTCTGCCTGCTCGCCGGCGCGGCTGCTGCACTCGGCGGCACGTGCAGCGACGAGGGCGAGCGCGGGGCCGGCCGGCAGCTGCTGGGCGCCGCCGCGGATGGTGGCGGCGGCTACACGGGCCGTAGTGCGACGCTGCTAGCTCTGTTTGCGTCTGGGTTTGGCTTCGTGCTGGCCGGCCCAGAGACGTCTCTCTGCGGCGCGGCGGTCAGCGACCTCGTGGCGGCCCACCCGGACACGCAGGGCGACGTCTCGGCGACAGCCTTCTCACTCGTCAACGGCATCGGCGCCTTTGGCCCGCTCGTGCAGGGCTCCGTCGCCGTCATCGTCGTCGGCGCGTGGGGGTGGGGCGGCCTCTTTTGGGTGCTGGCTGGCCTGTGCATTCTCTCCGCGGCGATGCTCCTCCCCGTCGCACGCGAAGAGGCTCGCCGCGGCGGCGGCGCGGGCTTGGGCTACCAGGCAGTCGAGGAGCGCAGCGGCAAGCTGTCGCGCTCGCGACCGTCCTCGCCCGGTGCATCGTCGACATCGTCCGAGCTACCGTCGCGCGGCGACGAGAGCAGGCTCACACTGCGGGACCGGGAGCCGCTGCTCTCGGCCGGTGTCGCCGATGCCACATGACGAGACGCCCGTCGTTTTATATTTTATCACCAATATCACGCACACGATGCATCTGTGATTCTGTGTGCCTGGCTGCGAAAAGTCACTCCTCAGACCTCACCACCAGCAGCAATTCGGGACGCCGCCTCCTCGCCTTGCTCGACCGCCTCGCTCGCCTTCGAGAGCAGCCGCCGGCTCAGCTTTCCTCCACCCGCTGCCGCCGCAACTAGCGCCTCTGTGCTGCCCAGCAGCTCCTCGTACACCTCCCCCGCCGCCTCTGCCGCGGCGCGCAGCTCAGTGGGCCGCGCCGCGCCCTCGGCCCTTCGCAGCAGGACCAGCAGCGCCGAGGCCGCCTCCCACAGCGGCCGCAGCGCCGCCGCGCCCTCTCCATCTGCCGTCTCGCCGGCCGCGGCAGCAGCGCCGCCCTCTCGGTGCGCCGTCAGCGGCAGGCACCGGAAGAGCGACTCTGCGGCGCGCATGCTGCTGCCCGCAGCGTGAGCTGCCTCGGCCAGCGCCGCCGCCGCCGCGTCTGCATCCGACGCCTCCCTCGCCGCCTGCCCCGCCAGCCGCGACGCCACCCTCAGACCGTGCTGCAGGTGCGAGCGCGCCCGGCTGCAGGCCGCCTCCACCGCCGCCTCTGCCCCCTCCCTCCCCGCCGCAGGCCCCTCCTCCTCCTCGCCGCGCCGCGCAGCAGCAGCACCGGCGACAAGCAGAGCGTCGGCGCGGCGCACGAGGGCGAGGAGCTCCTCCGCCTCGGCGGCGGTGGCGCGCTCCGCGTCGAGCCCGTCCACACCCGCCGACAAGTGAGCGGGCGGCGCGAGCACGAGCGCACGCGCGGACTCGAGCATGGCGGCGCCGGTCGGGCCGGTGAGCCATGCGGACCACGCGCTGGCGAGCCGCGATCTCAGCGCGCCGCAAGCCTCGCGCAACGCATCGAGGGGCGGCGACGACCGCTGTGACGGCCCGCCGCCACTGCTGCTACCCTTGCCGACGCCTTCGCCGCCGCTGCCGCCGTCGACATACCCGACTGTCAGCAAGACGCGCGGCGCAACTTGCTCCAGGCTCTCGAGCGCAAGGCAGATGGGAGTGAGAGGACCACGCCCGTCGGTCGGCGCGTCGAGCCGCGCCCGCGCAGCTGTTACCGCCTCCACGAGTGCTGCGTCACGGCGTGCAGCATCCGCCTCGCGCCGGGAGGTGCTGTAGTTTGTGGTGCACGCCGCGAGTCGAGCGCGAGCAGCCGCCGCCGCCGCAGCGTGTGCGTCCGCCTCGGCGCTCACCCGCTCCACGAGCCGCTCCACGCGCCTGAAACTCTGGCGCAGCGCGGCGAGGTGCGAGGCAAGCGGCAGCGTCGCTGTCGGCGCGTCAGCCATCGTGAAAAGAAAGGAGCTGTTTACAACGAACGAAAATTACGCTGAAGCCGTAGCTTGCGGCAACTTCGCAGGTGTCGTGAGGCACAGGGCGCGGGCAGGGCTCGTGTGCACAGCCTTGTTATGAGAAGAAAATACGTCCTATGGCGCTATGCGCTGGTCTGTGAGAGGTTGAGGTGCGAGCCCTGGAGGCCCTGGGGATGCACAGCGCAAAGAACACCATGTTTGTTGGTTTTCTAAAATCTCTCTCTCTCACCATGGTGCCACCCCGCACCCGTACCATCGACAACACTCTCATCCGAGTGCCGACCCGAGCGCCAATTCTCCGCACGCATAAGGCATATGACCGACGCACACACGATAGCTGGTCGGCTCGATGGCGACACCGCTGCGCCTCAGAGCTTGGGCGAGAGCTCGTTGATCTTTGCTTTGATCTCAGTCATTCGTGGCCCGACGATCCTAGCCACCTCCTTGCCGTCCAAGAAGAAGAGGAAGGTCGGAGCAGCAGCGCCGGCCAGGTCCTTGAGGACGGGCACCGTGTCCGCCGCCGCCCGCGCGAATCCAAACGATAGCTTCTCGCTTAGCTCAAAGTAGAGATTGGAGAAGTGGCCAACGAGCATGTCGCACGGGCCCCAGTTGGATGAGTAGACGTCGACAACTGCGCAAATGGCCGAGGCCGTGTCGCGGCACTGCGCGGGTGGTGTGTTTTGTACAGGCGCAGCAGCGGGCGGGCGGGTATGGCAGCGCATGTGCGTGCGCTCTCTTTACGAGTGGCCGTCTTGGGACGTAGCTCACCGACCAGTTGGCCGCTGTTCTTGACGACGGAGTTCTGCCATTCGACCGACGAGCCGATCTGCTTGATGAACGAGTCGTCCGCCTTCTTAGGCGGCATCCTAGCTGCTGACCCAAAGCCGTTCGCGCTTCACTGCCTCCCTCTGGCTGTGCGCGGATATGTCGTTACTGGGCGCGTGGGGTGGGGGTTCGGGGGGGTGGGGGGGTGGCATCGGGCGGTTGGGTCGTGGCGTTGCATTCACAAAAGCACAGCCGCCGCGGGAAAAAGTTCACAACAGCGCCCGCCGCCCGCGGTTCCCGGCGTGATCTGCCTGCTGTTGAACGCCTGGCATGACATTCGTCGGCTTCCAGCTTGAGCGCTCTGCGCAGGCGCACCATGCCCTCGGCCTGCTGCTCGAGTCGGATGTCCGCGACAGCGGCGCGACAAGCGCGAGCTCAGCACAGCACAGTCTGAGCAGCGGCGAGGCAGCTGCTCGCATCCAGGCGGCGCGCCGCGGCAGTCTCGGCCGCAATGAGTCACTGAAGCAACGGAGTGCACGCCGCGACGCATCGGAGCAGCAGGCGGCGACTCGCATCCAGGCGCAGCGCCGCGGCAGCCTCGGCCGTGACGAGTCTGTGAGGCAGCGGAGGGCACGCCGCGACGCATCGGAGCAGCAGGCGGCGGCTCGCATTCAGGCGCAGCGGCGCGGCAGCCTTGGCCGCAGCGAGTTCATGGCTCGTCGCGAGGAGCACAGCTTCCCACACTCGCCATACCACACCGACCGCGAGCCCATCGACGAAGTGTGGGCGCCGGTGGTCACAGCCGACGAAGAGCCGGATGGTGCGCTCGCCGAGTTGTCGGCAACCGCCTCGCGAATCGTGGCCCAGCTGGACGAGTCGGAGGCGGAGGCCCTCTCAGCAGGGCTCGCTGCTCTGCCAAGCGATGTGCAAAACTCCCATCTAGACGCATCCGCGAGCCTCGACCTCATTGGTAAGGATCTGAGCCACCAGCTGCGGCCGCTGCTCGAGCGATTGAGCCACCACGTTGGTGACTCTGATGCCGTGGCAGCCGCTGCTATCGCAGCGGCAGCGAGCGACGCCGAGGCGGTTGCCGATGAGCTTGTGGCCGCACTAATCCGCTGGAGCTCTCGCGGCGTCACCAGCATCGATCGTGGGCTGCCGCCGAGTGGCCCTCTGGCGGCGCCGGCGCCGGACTCGCCAGCGCGCGGCAACGGCACCGTCAAGCATGCGGCCGCAGTGGACGCCGATGACGCCACTCGAGAGCTGAGCGCGCCAGCGGCGCAGGCCAAAACTGGGTGCGCCACGCCACTGCAGCCCAGGTCCGGTGGAGATGAGTCCACGACGCAGCCTCGCGGCTCGTCACCGCCGAGGCCCTTCTCGCCGCTCGGCTGGCTCAGAGAGCACGAGCAGCTCATCCGACAGGTGCTCGGCCAGGCCACCTCGGCAGCAGCAGGGCTGAGTGGCAACGGCGAGGAGGCAGATGGAGCCTCATCAATCACCGAGGGCCCCGCGTTCCCCACGCTCGCAGCCCTCGCGCAGCTAGCCGGCGAGGTTGCTGCCAGCGAGTTGGCGGTCGGCAGTCGGGATGGCCGCCCACAAGGCATCCCGTCGAAGCCGCCCCTGGTTAAGGCGGCGCCCGAGATTGTGAGCGGCTTAGTCTCTGCGATGAAGCCCTTTACGAGGGATGAGACGACCGCCGGTGACACCCATCGCGATGGTTCCGCTCGCCTCCAGTGGCTCGGAACAGGGGCAGAGGCCGCGGCAGCAGAGGAGGAGCTGCTACGGAGGCAGGCGGCGGACAGCCTCTACGTCAACGCTGAGGCCGTAGCTCACGTCGATCTCGAGTGGCCAGGCTCGGGACTCGGAGCAGCAGAAGCTGCGGAGGAGCGGGAGGGCGTGCCGCACGCACCGCCGGCTGCCGACGATACGGTGACTCCGGCCGAGGCGTGGCTCATCACCAATCGCGAGCACTTGGCGGAGCTACGTCGCGCGGCGGCAGCCGCCGGCTTGGACGGCAGCATAGGCCGTAACGAGGCGGCCGCAACAAACGGGCGCACCAGCACCACTTCGGCTGCGTCTCCGACAGCCGCAGGACCTGAAGTGGCCGAGGCACGCGATGTGCTACGAGCAGGCGAGACGAGCGGACGAGACGACGCCTTGGGCTCCGAGCCGCGCGCGACCGGCCTGCTCTTTGCCGCAGACATCGAGTCGCGCCCGACCGACGAGGAGGTCCAAGCGCAGCTTCGCAGCCTTGGCGACGGCGTCGTGGCATCGGTGGGCAAAGTGACGAGCCGCTTGCTGCCAGCCGCACATTCGACCGCAGCGCAGGCAGGATCGATGCTTCCCACCGCCGCCCCGAGTGATCGGTTCTCTGCCCTTGGACCGATGCCACCGCCTGTGCCGCCGCTTGCGCCGCCGCAGCCACCGCCGCTTGCACCGCCGCCCACCGTTCCACGGGTGCCGTGGAACGTCTCCGAGACGGCATCGCGCTTGGCCGCGATGCCTCTGCCGGCGATGCCGCCCTTGGCCATGCCGCCCTTGGCGGTGGGGCCTCCACCTTACTTTGGATCGGCCCCGACATCAGCGCCAGTGATGCCTCGGCCATCCTTTGGTGACGCTACCGCGGACCGCGCGACGACGGCCGCACCGCCCGCCACGTTCCCTGCTGGCACGTCGTCCGCTGGCGCGCCCGGCGTAGCCGAGACACCCGCCGTGGCACCGCTGCTCGTTGACCCGCAGCTCCCACCTATGCCTCAGCTGCCGCCGCTCTCCCCACCCGGACACTCCACGGCCGCCTCGCTCGCATCGACAGCTCGTGCCTCGTCCCAGTCATTCCGTGCAGCAATTGAAGACTTTCGGCAGCGCATCGCACCGCCGCAGCAGCCCGCGTGGCAGCCATCCACGGCCACCGGCCATGCCCTGCACGCGGCGCTCGAGCAGTCGCGGTGGCAGGTCGGTCTACCCCAGGGCTATGGCCGACCCAAGGCCTCCACGTACGACCAAAGGGTGCAGCAGCTGGCGGCGGGCGTGATGGCCTCTGGGCCGCCAGCGGCGCACGGCTGAGGACCGACGGCGACGACGTCTGCACGAGGGGGATGTGGCCGCTCTAGGCGAGGCGCGAGGAGGGCGGGGGCTCGTTGCGGTACTGCGATCTGCGGCGCCTCTGTGCATAGCGGTGGGAGACAGAGAGAGGTGAGTTCGCGGCCCACGGCTGGCCTGCAGGGGGTAAGGCCCGCCTAGCAGGGGAATCACATGCTACATGTACATGTTGTTGTGCATGTTCATGTGCATGTGCATGTGCATGTTGCACATGCGCACGGAGGGTGGTCTACTATAGCGGGTGTGAAAAGCAACAAGAACCTCGCATGGGGCGACAGTGAGGGTGTGAGAGGATAGGCCCAGGAGTATGTTGTTCACAGACCTTGTTTTTGATAAGTGAAAATACCTCCTATGGGCTATGGCGCTGCGCGCGCTGGTCTATTCACAGCCCGTTGTCATTCGTGTGAGAAGAAAATACGTCCTATGGCGCTGTGCGCTGGTCTGTGAGAGGTTGAGGTGCGAGCCCCGCTGGAGGCCCTGGGGATGGGGGAGACTACCCGCGGGCCTAGAAGGCCCGCGCGCAGGGGGGTGGGACATTGAGACCGGTCATGAATGGAGTGCGCGACTGCGCGACACGCAGGTTGCGAGCAGCCGGTTGTTGGATGTTTTGCGCGTCGCCACAGACGGCGGCGCGCGAGAGCTGTTGCGAGTGGTGCTGGGCGAAGCCCCGGGCGCTGCCGGAGGCTGTGCCGTAGTTAGTCGGTGCGGTCGACGGCGCTCGCGCTTCACACTGAGTGGCCTCAGGGGTTGTGAAGAGATGGTTTGCGTGAAGGGTTGCGTCTTTTGGGTTGTGTGGTTGGTTGAATGGATGCACACCAAGGATCTTGGAGTATAATAGTAGGGTGGGGAATATGAAAAACGCCGGAATTCGGGCGAGTAAGTAGTAAGTATTCTCGCGTCGGCAAATTCGATAAGTGGGACAAGGAGGGATGCGTCCAGGTGGCACGTCCTGGAGTTTGAGGCGGCCTTTGCTCCACACCTCCACTCCTCGGTGACCACGCCACTCCCGGGTTGGATTGGAAATCCGTCAACATGACGTAGCCCCAAATCTCGGTAATGAGAGGAATCCAAGCCAATGAAGCTGTGCACGGCCAGCCCCTCGCTCAACTCCCCCAAGATCCTGGACCCCATCCGCTACAAAACGGTGCTCTGCAAAAACTTCGCGCTCTCCGGCACGTGTCCATACCGGGAGAAGTGCCAGTTTGCGCACGGCGAGGAGGAGAAGAGGGACAAGCCTCGTAAACGCCGAGGAGGCAAAGGGCGCAAACGGGCTGGCGCCCGGTCGGGAAGCCCGTCCAACTTCAGCGAGCTGAGCTCACCGCCGTCTTCTCCACGCTCGCTGCCTCTGAGCGCGCCGTCATCGCCTCGCGCGGCATGCGTGGTTTGTGAGGCCCGGCCGCCTCTGTCGCCGCTGGCGCCGCTGCTGCCACCAGGGCTCGGACACGCGTTCGAGGCGCTGGTCCTGAACCCTTCGCCTATGGGCCCGTCGGCAGTGTCACCTGGTCCGTGCCCGGCTGTGAGCTCGTCGATGGCGGCCTGCGGATCTCCCTCCTACATCCTGCAGAGGCCGGCGCCGCTGGAGCTGCCGCGTGCCCTGCCGCTGCCTCCGGCCACAAGGCCACATGTGGCATCGCATCAGCTGGCCGCCGCGCCGATGCCGGCGCCGCCGGCAATCATGGCGGAGGAGCGCTTCCTCGCTGCGGAGCACCGCGAGCCGAGCTACAACACGGTGCGCAGGTCCATCTCCCTGCTCTGGGGCAGCGACGACCGCCTCGACAGCATGGCGGAGATGCGGTCGGAGCTAGTCGAGCGCGCGGCGGACAAGGCGTCGCCGTTCCTGGCGCCGTTGCCAAAGACGCTCGGCGAGGCGCTCGCGAATTCGCCTCAGAAATGGAGCGTGCCCGCACGCTGAGTTCATGGGGGTTGCGGGCCATGTCTTGTTGTCCGAGATAGATTGTCCGAGATCATCGGAGATTGTCCGAGATCGTCCCGTCTCTTATTGCGCCACACATGTGTCATCAGCATGTATACGTCAGCGGTCTCTCGCCGCCCCATATGTTCTGTCGGGGGAGCGCTCTGAGGCTATCTGTGGTCGGGTGTCGCGCTTCAATCATAGAGTATAGAGAGAGCTCCCTGGCCTTGTCGCGCCGGTCGGACGCGCATGTGTCTCTGACTGTGTTTATCGGTAATCGTTTTGAGTGGTCGTATCAGGTTTCTGCCCGTATCCGTCGTATCTCCCGCTTTCTCCCGCTCTCTCTCTCTCCACGACTTGCTCGTTGCTGCAGTACGTCCGTGTATCTGCAGTGAGACATATAAAGCCGTAGCATATACGTAGAACGTACATAGAGCATGCGTCGAGCTCTCGCGGCTCCGGGCCTCCGGCCTTCGCGCGGGCTCGTCCCAGGTACCAGCCGCCAGCGAGCACGGTCCACGGCGCGGAGCACATGTTCTGGTCGCTCTCGCTGCTCAGGATTAACTTTAACAGCGCCGCACCCGTTGCGCCGCCCCTAGCTAGTGGAAGAGGAACTTGAAGTCCTCCACCCCCATCTTGAACCGGCCCTCCTCCCCGTCGGCCGCGCCGAGGGCGCCGCGCGCGAGCGCCGCCTTCCGCTTCTGCAGCTCGAGGATGCGCTCCTCGACGGAGTCCTGCACGAGGAAGCGCTTGATGCGCACCGGATACCGCTGGCCGATGCGGTGGATCCGGTTGACCGCCTGCTCCTCGACGGCGGGGTTCCACCAAGGGTCGAGCAGGTAGAGCGTCTGCGCAGACACGAGGTTGAGGCCGACGCCGCCCGCGCGGAGCGAGAGGAGGAGGATGCGAGGCCCGTCGCGCGCGGCGAAGCGCTTGAGCACGCTCGCGCGCGCCGGCTGCGAGAGCTTGCCGTCGAGCCGCTCGAAGCGGAGCTCCGCCGCCTCGAGGGGCCGCTGCACGAGGTCGAGCATCGACGTCCACTGCGACACGATCACCAGCTTGCCCACGTCGTCGGGCGGCTCGTCCGCGCCGACCGCCGGCACGGCGGGCGGCGGGAGGGGCGTGGCGAGCGTCTCGCGCACGTCCGCCATGAGCGCCTCCAGCTTGGCAGACGCCTTCCAGTGCGAGTCGAGGTCGACGGCGAAGCGCGAGCCAGGGACCGTCACCAGGCTGCCACGCTCCACCAGCTCGCGGCAGACGGGGCACGGCGCTCGCCCGGCCGGCCCGAGGCAGCCGAGAAGGCACTCGCGGCAAAAGGTGTGCGAGCAGCGGGTCAGCACCGGGTCGTCGAACTGGTCGAGGCATATGACGCACTCGCTCGGCGCGTCGCTCGCGGGGCCGCCGCCGGCGCTCTCGAGCTCGCGCATCGTCCGCTCGAGGAACTGGGCCGAGGCGGCGGCGGACGGCTGCGAGTCGCCGCCCTGCTCGCTCTGCCACTGCCGCAGCAAGCGCGCGCCGAGCCGCGAGATGTCCGCGTCGGCGCCCGAGCGCGCGAGCACGAGGTACGGGTGGTCGCACGCCTGCCGCAGCTGCAGCAGCATGTGCAGCACGGTCGCGTAGTTGTTGAGCACGCGCCCTTCCGCGACGAAGGCGTCGAAGCGCACGCGCGACTGCGTGCGTAGCGCGTCGTAAAAGTCCCTCTCCTCCTCCGACAGGAGCAGCCACTCGATGTGCCTGTCGGTGCGAAGCCGCGGCGGGTGAGAGGCCTCGCGAGGGCGGAGCGGACGGGCTCCCGTGCGCCGCGCACGTCGCTCGGGGGGGAAGCGCCACGATTGGCTGCCCGTCGGCGCCGCGCGTGCTCTTCGTGCGCCGCAGCAGGAGGGGGTCGAGAGCGCCGCGGAGGAGACCAAAGGCGGCGACCACCTCGAGCGAGGCACGTGTCAGGGAGGGTGTCGGGGACGTGTCAGGGAGGGCGTCGGGGACGTGCCAGAAGCGGCGATCACCTTTTCTGCGCCTTGTCGCTCCTCGATGGGCTGCAGCACGTTCTGCCGCCAGTAGGCGTAGTCGTCGAACGGCGCGAGGCGCAGGAAGTGGAGCAACGAGAAGAGGTCGTCGAGGGCGTTCTGGACCGGCGTGCCCGAGACGGCCCACCGGCACTCGCAATCGAGGGCGAAAGCGGCCTTGGCCTGCTGCGTCGCGCGCCCCTTGATCGTGTGCGCCTCGTCGAGCACGACGCGCCGCCAGCGCGCCGCGAGCAGCGGCGGCTTTCGCACGGCGCGAAAGAAGGGGCCCGGCTTGCCTTGGGCGGCGCTCTCGGCGGAGGCGGCCTCGCTCGCGGCGAAGGAGGAGTGCTCCGAAGCCAGGGTGCCGTAGGTGGTGATCACGACGTCGTGGTCGAGCAGCGTCGCCCCCGACTTGTCGCGGCCCTGCCCGTAGTACACGGTGGCGGTGAGGGCGCCTCCCGCGTGCGCGAGCAAGTTCTCGTGCCACTGCGAGAGAAGCGACATCGGGCACACGACCAGCGTCGCGCCGCGTCGCGCCTGCCGCGGGCCGCTCCGGCCCGCCTCTCGGGCCGGCGACGAGGCGACGAGGCGGCCGCCGTGCGCGCGCATCAGGCTCTTTCGCCGGTCGGGCGCAGGGCTGCCCGCGCCGCCGCCGCCGCTCTCGTTGCCGCTGTCGCTGCTCAGCGAGATCACCCGGTGCGATGCTGCCGTCGCCTTCCTCGCCGCCCCGCCTCTCGCAGAGCGCCCAGCACCGCCGCCGCCGCGTCGCTGCCGCTTTGGACGGCGGCCGCCGCGGCCCTCCTCCTCAAAATCCTCCCCAGAGTCCTCGAAATCGTCATCGCTCCCCTCGTCGCTCCCGCTCCCGGCCTCCTGCGCGGGGTCGGAGTCGGACCAGCTGCCGCTCCCTTCGCCGCCGCTCCCCTCCCCGCCGCTGCTGTCAGCGCCGCCGTAGTTGACCCGCGCGAGCGCTCGCCGCGGCCGGCCGCGGTGGCGCCTCTCCCCGCCAGCCGAGTTGGCGGCGGCCTCCTCCTCCGGCCGCGGGCTGGGCGGCAGCTGCTCGACGGAGCGCCGCGTCTGGCGCGGCGCCCTCGCCCTCGCCGAGCGGGAGGCGGCGGGCTCCTCCTTGGCCGCGCCCGGCCTCGGCCGCGGGACGTCACCGCCGCCCTCGAACAATGCACCTCCCGTTGGTTCGACTGCCATCGCCTCCTCTCGCTGCGCCGCCTCCGCCTCTACCGCCACAGCCACCGCCTCTGCCGCCACCTCTGCCGCCTGTTCCGCTGCCGCCACCTCTGCCGCCTCTGCCGCTGCCGCCACCTCCGCCGCCTCCGCCGCTGCCGCCGCCTCCGCCGCTGCCACCGCCTCTGCTGCCTCCGCCACGGCCTCGGTCCCCTCCCCCTCCCCTGCTGCTGCCCCCGCCTCGGTCCCCTCGCCGCGCGGCGTGACTAATGACGTGACGCCCTCATCATGATGAGTGACGCCCTCAAACGGCGTGACGCCCTCAAAGTCGGCGACGATGAGGGCGAGGATCTCGACAGTCTTGCCGAGCCTACCGTCCCGACACCTCCAGCCTCACCAGCCTCTCACGGCGCAACGGGGGGCGGGTCGCGGCGCGGCGCGCCCCATCGCTTCGGCAGGATGCTCGGCTCATCTCGGCTCATCTCGGCTCATCTCGGCTCATCTCGGCTCATCTCGGCTCATCTCGCGCCCCATCTCGTCGGCGAGGATGCCCCCGCGCGGAGCCGCGTCTGCGCTGGAAGGCTCGCTGAGCGAGACAGCGCCGGAGGTGGGGTTGACGTAAAAGGCCGCGGCCTCGCCCCCCTCGCCGCTGAATGCGTACTTGGCCCAAGCCGGGTGGAGCGAACGGTGGGCGCCGCCGCCGCCGCCGCCGCCGCCGCCGCCGCCGCCGCCGCCATTGCCACCTCCGCCTCCGTCGCCGCCACTGTCGCCGCCGTCGCCACGCTCGCCGCGTGTGCGGCGTTCCTGCTCGGTGAGCTCTCGCCACAGCATCCAGCCGAGCGCCTACTCTCGGCTCCTCTCGGCTGCTCTCGGCTGCTCTCGGCTCCTCTCGGCTCCTCTCGCGAGGCGAGCATGCGGGCCGCCTCTCTCTGGTACTGCCTCAGCGTGCACGAGAGGCCGCGCGGCTGGCACACCTCGAAGCGGCGCATCGAGGCGCGCTCGCCAATCAGCTCCCTCAGCAGGCCGCCCTCGGCAGCGCCGCTCGCGCCGCTGCTCGCGGGGCCACCCTCTCCTGCCCCTCCCCTCCCCTCCCTTCCACCCTCGCCTGCCGCGCCGGGACCGTCCTCCTCCAGGTCGATGACGGCGGCGGCAGCGGGCTCGGCAGGCGCGGCGCCGGCAGCCCCCCCGGCCGCTGCCCCGGCCGCTCCGCCGCTCGAGCCGCCGACGAGAGGAGGGAGCAGCGGCCTCATCCCCAGCCGCTGCACTAGGCGAGACAGCGCGAGGCGGCGCGAGGCGGCGGCCGGGGTGACGGCCTCGGCGTCGCTGGCGGCCGCGGCCGCAGTGGCGGCGGTGAAGGCGGCGGCGGTGACGGAGACGCTGAGCGAGATCGGCACCAGGTCCGAGATGCGAAAGTCGCGCCCGCCGACGGCGCCGCACCGCACCTCGAGGGCTATCTTCTTGTCGTCGAGGAGGGGCGCGACGCACTCGGCGAGCTCGGCGCTCAGGCGGCCGAGCTCGGAGCCGGCCGCGGTGCACAGCCGGGTGATGATGTCCAGCTTGCTCTTCGAGGCGAATGGCGAGCTGCGCCCGCCGCCGCCGCCGCCGCGCCCGCCGCCGCCGCCGCCGCGCTTGCCCTTTGGCTCCTTCGCGCTGGCGGGCTGCTGCTGCGGGCGCTTGATCTGCAGGACCTGGCCCTCGTGCAGCTCCCCGTGCCTCAGCTTGGTGAGACACAAGAACCAGGCGGGGAAGACGCCGAGCCGTCGCGGCCACACGGGCGCGCGCGAAGGGCCTGCGCCGGCCGTCCCTCCACCTGCGGCGGCCGTCCCTGGAGCCGGCGGGCGGCTGGCTGCAGGTGGAGGGACGCGCGGCTCGTGGGCCGCCGAGCCGCCGCTGGAGGACTGGCGAGCCATCGAGAAGGGATTGGCGGGCGGCGGCGCCGGTGCTGTCGTCCTTCTGTCGAGCCACCTGTTGATGGCGAGCGCCACGTCGCCCTTGCTCTCCTGCAGATAGGCTCTGCACGTGCTCGTGGCGACGTCACTGCCTATGATGGCGCGCATCTCCGCCACACTCGCCGCAAGGCGATCAGATGCTTGCATGGTGAGGTACGTGCGTGGCGCGGAGGAGCCGTGAGTTGCTCTGGGCGCAAGTCCAGTTCGCGCCCTGTTCGCCGGTAAGAAGGAAAGAATTCGGGCGACTTTTTATATCTTTTCTACCTGCAGATAGGCTCTGCACGTGCTCGTGGCGACGTCACTGCCTATAATAGCGCGCACTTTTGGATTCCGGAGTAAAAGCAAAAAAGAAAAAAGACGTCGCGCACGCGGCGCCGTGGTCCGTGGTCCTGCCGGAGCTTTCCATCCCATTAGCAGCCTGGGAACGGTGGCACACATGCGGCCCATCGTCCCCTTCGTCCGGCCTCGTGCCTCACAGAAAGAGCAGGCCAGCCCCGGTGCGCAGAAGGCAAAGAGTGCGCCCGGCGGGGGCGGCAAGCGACGGGCAAAGTGCAAGCCCTCGGCCTCGAAGAAGGCGAGGACAGCCGCCGCCAGCGTGCCAAAGCAGCGGGCTCCAGTCTCACGCCAGACGCCGGAGGAGGTCGAGGCCGCCGAGGTTCGCTGCTTCGACCCTATGGTGGGGCCGTCGGGGCTCTGGCCACAGAGCCGCCCGCTGGCCGCCTCGCCTCCGCCGCTCGCGCTCGAGATCGCCCGCGGCGAGGGGCTGCGCCAGCTGCGCCTCAGGTGCGCCGACTTGGTGCGTGGCTTGCCGACGGGCGCCGGCGCCCTGGTCGGCGCCTTTGAGCGCTGGCACTTTGGGTGGCTGCTGCACGCGTCCCGTGCCGGCGGGGCGGGCGACCCGCTGCTGCCCGGCGGCGCCGCCGGTGCTCCCGAGCCCGATGCGGAGCTACGGGCCGAGCTGGAGGCCGCTGGTTGCGAGCCGGCGGCGGCGGCAGCGGTGGCCGCCGACTTGCGCCGGGCTGCCGCGGAAGCGGCGACGGCGGCAGCGGCCCGAGCTGCGGCGGCGAGCGCGGAGGGTGGCGGGGAGGGTGGCAGTGGTGGGGAGGAGGATGGGGTCGGTCTGCGAGAGGCGGAGGTCGGCGGCGGCGTCTGGTGCGTGAGTCTGCCGCCGGCGCTGCTCGCCCCGCTGCCGCAGGAGCTGAGGAAGCCACTCAAGATCTCGGACGAGTGGCTCTCCAAGCTACGCGAGATGCACACCGCCACCGTGGCCAGCACCGCCCCAGCCTCCGCCCCCGCCTCCGCCTCCGCCGCCTCTGCCGCCGCCGCCGAGCTCCGATTCCGCTCCGACCTCGCGCGGCTGCTGCTGAGGTACAAGGCGCTCGGCGGCTCCGGCTTCCAGGCGGCGATCGGCGGGGGCGCCTTCGCGGTGCTGCGCGCGAGCTTTGGCGCGCGGCTCGAGTGCTTCGCGTCGCCCCTCAACGCACGCTCGGCCCCATTTTGCTCCGCCTTCCCCGACGTCGACGCGCCTTTCGGCTCGCTCGGCTCCTTCCTCGAGTTCGAGCCGGAGGAGGGCGCGTATGAGGCGAACCCGCCCTTCGTGCCGCTCGTCCTGCGCGCGATGTGCGCCCACATGCACCGCCTGCTCGACCGCGCCGAGGCAAGCCGCAGGCCGCTCCTGTTCGTCGTCGTCGTCGGCGCCTCTTCGGCGCTCAAGAGGCACGCCGCGTGGGAAGACTTGCAGGGGTTGGCCGCGGGACGGCACGGCCGAGCGCAGTGGCTGCTGCCTCTACACGCACACGGCTACACTGAGGGGCACGCGCACATCGCAAAGGGCGGCGCGCGGGCGGCGCGACGAATGTCCTCGTGCGACACGGCTGTCTTCGTGTGGGCCTCCTCGGCGGGGGCGGAGCAGTGGCCGGTGACCGACGGCGCCGAGGCGGCGTTGCGCGCAGCGATGAAGGCCGCCATCCCGCGGACGCTGCGCAAGGCCACCAAGGCCAACCGGCATGCCCACGCTGCGAAAAAGCAGGCGCGCAATCACAGCAGCCGATGACTGCCATGTAATGACACCAATGGGAGGTAAGGTAAGGTAAGGTAAATTTCTCCGCACACACACAAAGAGTGGCGGTGTGGGGCACGGGGCGGGGCGACCCTCCGGCCTTAGGGGACCCCTAGGCTTAAAAGGGTGGGCCCTGGGGCGCCTGCGGCTTAAACGGCTTAAAACTTGCCTAGGCAAGTTTTAAGAGCTGCTGGGCCGCCGATTCCTTAAACGGTCTTAAACGGTCAAACGACTCGGCAGCCTCCCCGCGCCCTTAAACGCGATCACACCATGAATGGTCTATACTCAAAACTTGCCGACGGGCGGCGAAAGCTCTTCGCTCGGCCCCGAGAGCGCTTCGCTCTCTGCCGCCCGCCCGCCCGCTCGCTCGCCCGCCCGCCCGCCAGCCTCCCCGCGCTTAAACGCTCTAAATGGCTCAAATGGCTCAGGTTGGGCGCGGTGTGCGATTCTCTTAAATGGTCTCTTAAATGGGAGCGGCAGCATGGGCCCAATCTCTTAAACGCACCGAGGCGGCTCTGGAGCCGCCAATCTCTTAAAAGGTCTTAAAAAAATCCGGCCCTCAGAACCCTAGGGGTCCCCTAAGCCTCCGGCACGACGATCTCGCCACACCCGGACACGGGTAGGAGCCCCACGCGGGCATTCAAAGTGCAAGCACTGGCCCGGTGCACGTGGGTGAGCAGCCTGCCCCTCCCTCCCGACAAACCAACTCCCGCATACACAACTGGTTGGGTAGTAGTCTAAGTTCTGAGCCTCGCGGCTTAACGGGTCTAAGTGTGGCTAGCCACGCTGGAGTGCTTACGCGGTCTAAGATCAGCGGGAGCCTCTTACACCGGCTAAGTCGGCCATGGCACGCGATATACGGCGCTCGCGCCCAAATTTTCTTCGCCTGCGCGGCGGGCGATCGATCCTCCTCATGCTCAGCAATCGCCGCCTCAGCATCCTCCTCTTCCGATTCTCGTTGCTGCTTCTTGAGCGCACTTCGGCGACATCTAGCCAAATAGTTCTCACAAATAGCCTCAAGCTCAAACAAACGCATGTCAGAGAAGCCTGTGTATGCTGGTCCTCTTTGAACGATCCGCGCGTGAGGTAGCATAGGGCCTTGTTGGCAGCAGCCAGCTTGTTGCGCTGCTTCGTTGCGATGAGCTGATTGCATGCCAAGCACCGCCACGATCTTGAAGCAGAACACATCGCAACCGCATCGTCCGCACTGCCATCGGCATGCCGCGCCCGCCGCTTCGCCGCAGCCGCCTTAAGGCACGCATAGCGGCAGCACATGGTACGGTGCGCGTACTTGAGCAGGAGTTGCGCCGCAAGTAGCGCACTGGCCCTGGGACAAGGCGATATGGCGTCGTGGACGGCATACGTGACATACGTTGGTCGGGACGCGTCCACAGGTATTTTTCGGGTAAACCTGCTGGACTTTTGCAGGTATACCCGGGTTTTACCCGGAGTTGGCCTCGTGTCGTCTAAGTTCATGGCCCCCGGCCTTCCAGCGTCTAAGTCTGAGCCCGGCTCCGTGCGGGGGCTAAGTTGAGCGCTCGCTCGCTGCAGAGGCTAAGTGTAGAGCGACCCTCTAGCCCTACTACCCAACCATTCATACACACAATCGCACTCATGGCCATCGAATGACTCCGAATGCCTCAAAAAACTGTGTGTGGCTGCTCTCTAAGACACAGAATGGGAATCTCCGCAGACAGCCAAAACGGGCCGTGCCGCGTTTGTGGTGTCTTCTCAAGCAATGGGACGTGCTTTTGAGTCCGTACCTTAGCTTCCCATTACCGTAATGCGTCAGAGAAAGAATACGTCAGAGTGAAATGGAACATAGGAGCGAAGGAGGCTTCTAGCCAGAAATAGAGGATTGAGCAAGCGGAGGATTCGTGGCACGTGTGGTTGACGAAGAGAGAGTCAGGCATACAAGGCATATACGGTCATAGGTCCATATACTCCATTTACCATACCGCATAGTGTTTTATTTAGTGTTACGATACGACGGACACTCACAGAGCTCAGGACTCCTGAGTCCTGTCAGAGGGCTCTCGGGCAAGGGGCAATCTCACGCGGCCACTGTTGCTTCGATTCTTCAGACCTCGCTGCTATCGACTGCTAGCGGGGCAGGCCCCTGCTCTGCCCAGGCGGGTTGGGCGTGAATGCCCTCAAGAGAAGAAGACTTCGATTGCGGGCCGATCCTCGGCGGAAGATATGAGTAAACTCGTCGCGACGTAATGGGCGACGGTGTCGACGCGGACAGCGGGCGTGCGGGGTCAAAGGTGCTCGGCGGCGACTCGCCAACCAACACACATGTCTTCCTATGCCTCATTTGGATCGCCCTCTCCTTTGACTGGCTCAACCCGGTAAAACTCTTTTGCGACGAGACGGGAGTCCCAAATTACGCCTTTGGCCTGACCGCGCTGGCGGTGCTTGTGTACACTGTGATCTCCGACTTTTCGAATGTGGTGTACTTTTCGATGCGCATCTTTTTCCGCGTCATCCTCTCGACTGTCTTTTCAAACATCGAGATCGTTGGGCTTGACAACGTGCCGCGCAAGGGCCCGATCATCTTCACCGGTAACCACGCCAATCAGTTTGTGGATGCGCTGCAAGTCATTTGCTCGAATCCGTTCAAGGCATTGAGCCCAGTAGCCCCTCTGTTGCGCCACGCCACGGTGGGCTGACCATCTCCCCTTCTGCGCTCACAGATCTCCTTCTTGATTGCACAAAAGTCGTGGGACAGGCCCATCATTGGCGACTTTGCCAAGCTGTGCAGCGGCATCCCCGTCGCGCGGGCGCAAGACTCGGCAAAGAAGGGCCAGGGCACTATTGTGACCGCTGAGTCGTCCAGTACTAAGACCGAGGTGAAGGGCGAGGGGACCGACTTCCCGGCGCAGCTGCGCCCGGGAGATAAGGTGCGGTTCGCAGGCTCTGCCACTGCCTACAAGGTGAGCAGCATCGCCGGGCCGAGCGCTCTGACGATTGCGACACCGGCCGACTCGCCCTGCCCCGTCCTTGACGGCGTGACATTCGATGTGCTGCCGCGGGTCGACCAGTCGGTGATGTTTCGCTCCGTATTCGACGCCCTGAAGGATGGGCGCTGCATCGGCATCTTTCCGGAGGGCGGGTCGCACGACCGGACCGACCTGCTGCCGCTGCAGGCCGGCGTTGCACTCATGGCGTTCGGCTGCCTCGAGGAGCACAACATCTCAGTCCCGGTGGTGCCGATCGGGCTCACCTACTTTGCCCGGAGCCAGTTCCGCTCGCGCGTGGTTATCGAGTTTGGCAGTCCGGTGACCATCTCAGAGGAGCTCGTCAAGCAGTACGAGAAGGACAAGCGCGGGGCCTGCAATCGGTTCCTGGGGCACGTCGAGGACGGCCTGCGCGCTGCACTGGTGACGACGGACTCCTACGACACGCTCACTCTCGTCCACACAGCGCGCCGCCTCTACCAGCGCGACTACGAGGCGCTCGACACGGCAGCAAAGCAAGACCTCAATCGGCGCTTCGCCGAGGGCTACAAGAAGCTGCTCTCGCAAGGGGGTGGCAACCTGCCCGAGGACATCGCCAACCTGCGCGCGAAGCTCGCTGAGTACCGCGACACACTCGCTGCGCTCGGCTTGCGTGACCACCAGGCGAGACTCCCTCGCCGAACCCAAAGCAGTAAACAGCTGGTGACTGATCCCGCTCTGCGTCGTCGGACCCTAGGTCCCCACGCTGCGGATCGAACCCGCCAAGGTGGTGCTCTCCGCGGTGCACATCCTCATCCTGTTGGTCATCTCAGCGATCCCCAACCTGCTGCTCAACTTGCCTGTCGGCATTGCATCGACTCGGTACGCAGCCAAGGCGCAAATCAAAGCGCTTGCGGGCTCCAAGGTGAAGATCGAGGCGGAAGATGTGGTGCTCTCTGAGGCAATCAAGCTCGCCATCATTGCGTTGCCGGCGCTGTGGTTGACGTATGCCTTCCTGTTGCTGCTCTTCTCGGGCCTGGCTGCCAAGACGGTCTTCTTCATACTCCTCTCTTTCCCTCTCATGTCGTACATTGGTGTCATCTCCGCTGAGGCGGGCATGATTGCCATCAAGGACCTGCAGCCGCTCTTCAATCAGCTCCTCTTCCGCGAGCAACTCCAGCTGCGCACAATGCGAACTGAGCTGCAGACGCTTGTACGTGAGAGCGTCAAGAACCACGGCCCGTCTCTCGGAGAGCTGTACTATGACAAGGAGCTGCACTGGGACGAGTACCTCAATAAGGCACATGATGAAACCCCAGAACCCTCACCACGGAACCCCGATCCGCCCTCCTCGGCGGCTGCGTGAGCTCGATAATTTGGCCTTGTCAGTCGCAGCCATGTCGCAGCCCGCCTGGTTCCCCCGGGGCCCCGCGCCAACAAACGTGCGAGTAGAGAGAGGCCTAGCCCTAGGTGGGAGCTGGGAGAGACTGTGGAGTGTGTGCGAGGAGAAGCTTGAAAGAAAGATGCGCTGTCGTGCCGTTCAAAACTCCTGCTTGTTTCGATACTACGACACAGCTAAGCACAGGAGCCTCCCGTCGCGCGGCGTGTATCACGGGCCGCCTGATCCACACAAACATGAGGCTCATGTGGACGAAGTGCAGAAGCCCCCGCGTCACCAAAGTGTACCGCCGTGCCTCTCTTTCCCGAGTGGGCCGTCGGCGAGAGCGGCGTGGTGGCGTCGTGGTGACGAGCCAAAGGATACGGGAACTGCAGATCCGCCGAGGGTAGCACCTCCTGAGCGAAGCGTGGTCATTGCCTGCTTGAACTCACCCGGGCCAGGACCCCCTTGACGAGCCTTTCCAAGCGGTCCGTCAGAAAGCATCGCGTGATGTGCCCGTACAGAGGTAGCCGATCCAAAAGCAGATCCGGCCTTGTTGCTGAAGGTGCATCCACCCGCGCGAAGGGCTGTTGGCGAGTAGGAGCCTGGCCCAGGTGAATGTGATAGCGTGGCTCGCGGCGAGCCTGGCGCAAGGGGTCCGGATGAGGCTCGAGCGCTGACGCGGGAGCTAAGCCATCGGTCTGTCAGCTGTTCGATGCTCGAAGCGTCAACGCTTTCCGCCCCGGGGCTTGCGTCGCTCGAATCGACGCTTTGCGCCATCGTGGCACATACACACACACATGCGATTTCGGGGGCCGAAGTTCGTTTCCCCACAAGGCGAAAAATAAAATGAACACGCGAGATCTTGGAATCGCAGCCTCTAATCTAGCCACTGTCAGCAACGTCGCTACGAGAAAGGAAACTAGAACCCCCAAGAATCTTTCATTTCTCTTACCTAGCTTAAAAGACAGTACAGCGAGAGCCGAGACCCCCTCAGCCCTCTCCCGTAGTCTATCCCGCAGCACTCAACTCTCCAGAGCCCGCGGCCGGCACGAGACCAGGAGAAGAGCGACGCGGTCGTGACGTGACTTCGCTCATCGGGATAGTCGCTTTTCTCGGGCGTGGTGAGTGGTGTGGAACTGAGAGTAATGTGATTAGACGCATTAGTAATGACTCGTGTGTCTATAGTAATGAAGAGGTGAAGTATTTTAGCAGGAACCCTCGCACAGGAACTCCTCGCACATATAAACAACTCGCTCCCTCCGGTCCCCCCTTTTACCTTCCTTAGAAGCACTTGCGGTGCACGATGGACGGGCCCGACTCGTCGTACTCCTGCTTCGAGATCCACATCTGCTGGAAGGTGGAGAGCGAAGAGAGGATCGAGCCGCCGATCCAGACCGAGTACTTGCGCTCCGGCGGCGCGATGATCTTGACCTTTATCGACGCGGGCGCGAGCGCGGTGATCTCCTTGGACATGCGGTCGGCGATGCCGGCGTACATGGTGGTGCCGCCCGAGAGGACGACGTTGGCGTACAGGTCCTTGCGGATGTCGACGTCGCACTTCATGATCGAGTTGTACGTCGTCTCATGCACGCCCGCCGACTCCATGCCCAGGAAGGAAGGCTGGAAGAGCGCCTCGGGGCAGCGGAAGCGCTCATTGCCGATGGTGATGACCTGCCCGTCGGGCAGCTCGTACGACTTCTCGAGCGAGGAGGAGGAGGCGGCGGTCTGCATCTCTTGGTCAAAGTCGAGCGCCACGTACGCCAGCTTCTCCTTGATGTCGCGCACGATCTCGCGCTCGGCGGTGGTGGTGAAGGAGTAGCCGCGCTCGGTCAGCAGCTTGACCATCCAGTCGGTCAGGTCGCGGCCGGCGAGGTCGAGGCGCAGGATGGCGTGCGGCAGCGCGTAGCCCTCGTAGATGGGCACGGTGTGCGAGACGCCGTCGCCCGAGTCCATCACGATGCCGGTGGTGCGGCCCGACGCGTACAGCGAGAGGACCGCCTGGATGGCGACGTACATGGCGGGCACGTTGAAGGTCTCAAACATGATCTGGGTCATCTTCTCGCGGTTGGCCTTGGGGTTGAGCGGCGCCTCGGTCAGCAGGACCGGGTGCTCCTCCGGCGCCACGCGCAGCTCGTTGTAGAAGGTGTGGTGCCAGATCTTCTCCATGTCATCCCTGCAGGCGGGGAGAGACGGGCGTGAGATGGGTCCCGGGAGGGCGGGTTGCGGGAATGGACTGGGGGGCGGCGGCGGCGGCGGAGCGCGCGCCAGTTGGTGACGATGCCGTGCTCGATCGGGTACTTGAGCGTGAGGATGCCACGCTTGGACTGCGCCTCGTCGCCGACATACGAGTCCTTCTGCCCCATGCCGACCATCACGCCAGGCTGGCGCGGCCGGCCGATGATGGACGGGAAGACGGCGCGCGGCGCGTCGTCGCCCGCGAAGCCCGCCTTGCACATGCCGGAGCCGTTGTCCACCACGAGCGCCGCAACCTCGTCGTCCGCCATGTGTGTTTATGTCCGTTTGTCTCGTCCGCCGACGCCGATACTTTGCCAACTCCTTGCCCCTTGGAACGCGTCGCCCCATATGCCCCGCGTGTGAGTATATTCAGTGTGTGTGTGTGTGTGTGTGTGACCTAGTAGTGTCCCCAGCTATGGGCGTGTCCACCTTCGTTGGAGCCAGATTTGGCCTGTATCCATGTTTCCGGAAACCAAAAAGGAAACGAGAGGGTCCCCAGCACTTTGCGTTTCCGGAAAGTTCCAGGGAAACTAGAGGGTGTTTGGTGCTCCATTCTGGCAACTCTCGAGTTTCCCTGACTGAGTCTGACGGGAAACTACTCGAGTAGAGAGGAAATGAGAGGGTGCTGTGGAGAAACACGGAAAGGAAACGAGACGGGGTGCGCGAGGTGTGGTGCGAGAATAACTCCGCCGTTCATGGAGGCAAACGATGCGAGTCGACTGGTGTGTGTTCGTCACACAGCCCACGCGTGTCGCCAGGTGCTGGCTACGTTTTGGGGAGGGGTCAAAAAAACGGTGTGTGTGTCCCGCAGCGGCCTCGCTGGGCCAGAAAATCGGCCCGCGAGTGCTCCGCAGCAGCCTCGCTGGGCCAGAACATCGGCGGCCCGCGAGGTGGATGCTAGCATGAGCCCGATCCGTCGCAGTGCTCTTGCGTTTCGGCGGTAGAAGTGTCTAGTGATCTAATCACCCGAACGAATGCCACCTTCGGATCGCTTCTCATCGCAAACCCAGTCATGCGCAGTCCTCCTCCGGGAATGTACGTAAGACATACACTGTACACTGAGAGAGAGAGGTAGGTAGGTAGTAAGGTGAAGAACAGCCAGAGAGAGAGACACACACAAAAAATAAAAAAATAACAGTGCTGGTGATGAACTCATTAGAGGACGGCGAACACCTCGGATGCGCGAAGGCCTAACAAGATTCTCACCACGCAGCGGATGGCCGAAGCGCCAGGGCGGCCGGTGGCACTCGTGGCGCCTGGCCTGCTAGGAGAGGCCAGCGAGGAGTCTCCACCCGTCGCTGACGGTGTGGTGGAGCTCGACTCGCCAGGAGACGACGCCGGCCCTGCAAAGAAGCGGAAGGGCAAGACGACTCGCTGGAACATACCGAAACATGCGCTGCAGACACTGGAGCAAGTGTTTAAGGACGACAAGTTCCCGTCCGTCGAGACTCGCAAGAATCTCGCTGCAGAGCTGCGCGTGACGCCGAGACAGGTGCAGGTCTGGTTCCAGAACAAGCGGCAGAGGTCTGGCGCCAAGCCGGTGCCTGCGCGGTCAGAGGACAAGGCTGAGCCAAACTTTCTGAGCACGTCGGTGCGCGCGTCCGCCGGCGCAGCTAGCACGCGTCTCTGTCTCCACCCCTGTCACGCGCTGCGCACACCGCCGCCGCGTCAAGACGCGCAGCAGCAGCCGGATGCGCTGTCCTCTGCGACTCACCCTCTGTGGCGGGCCCGGTGCCTGTGCGAGTCTCTCACCCGTGCGTCCCCCCTCGCGCAGGAGGACATCAAGGCCGCGCTCATGAACTTCGGCTCCGGCGCGCAGGTTGGGCCCACTCGGCGGCAGCACGACGTGATGCTCGACGACTCAAAGGCGCCGAGCGCGTCTACGCTCGGCTCCGCGAGCGGCGGGCCGAGCACGAGCTCCGAGATGTGGGCTGCGGCGGCGGCGCACGCGGCGGCGGCGACAGCAGCGCAGTTGAGCACGGGCGGATCGGGCGCTTTTGGCATCGGCAACCAGTGGGGATGGGGCCTGAGCAACTTTCCGCCCCTGCCACTGCCGCCAGCGGGCTCTTGGGGGCTGCTCGGCAGCGGCGGCGAGGGCGGAGGCGCGGCGAGCGCGGCTGACACGCGGGACGGCGGCGCGACTGGGGCCTTCATGGCATCGCTCCCCCCTTCTCTGGCGCAGTGGCTTGCCCTGTCGCAGGGAGCCGCCGCGGCGGGGAACGCAGGTGCAGTCTCCAGCGGCGCGCAGGGCACGGCGGGGGGTGGTGCGGCTGGCGGCGCAGCTGACGCCGGGGGCGCCAGTGGCAGCAGCGGGGCCGGCGCGCCCGCCTCGGACAGCAGCAGCAGGGAGGGCAAGCAGCCGGACGGCGACGGTGGCGGCGCGGTGGACACGAGCTTGCCTCCCGGCCTCTCCGCCGCCCTCTCGCAGCTGGGTGACGCGGCCAAGGGGATGGCCAAGCCGCCGCCGGCAACGCCGCCGGCCGCCATGGGCAACAACAGCCAGGTGGTGCAGGCGCTGCGGAGCGACTTTTTGAGGCAGGCGGTCGCGGCCGAGGCCGCTAGGGGGGGCGGCAGCGGGCCGCAGCCGCTCGTCTCCGAGGCCGTCCTCGCCGCCGCCGCCGCCACCGCCGCTGCTAACGGCAGCTCTGGGACGCTGCAGCCCGGCGCTGGCGACGGCATCTCACTGCCGGCGCTGACACAGCAGTGGCAGCAGATGGTGTCGATGCAAAGCGCAGCTTGGGTGTCGGCCGAGCCCACGGTGGCCGCGCACCCGATCGCGCCGCAGCAGTCGCAGACGCAGAAGCGGCGCCGCGCCGGCTCCGGCTCTTCGCCAGAGGCGGCTCAGCCGGCAGCGAGGGCGGGCAGCGGCGACGCGGCGGACTTGTTGTCGCGTCCCTCGCGATCCTCTTCGCCGACCGCCGCGTCGGATCAGCCGTTCGTCGGCGTGAAGCTGTCCCGCTCCGGGGTGAGCGGCAGCCTCGACGAGCTCAAACTCGAGAAGCGCAGCTCAGAGGGAGACGACTCTGCGGCGGGCAGCGCGAGCCGGCCCGCCAGCCGCGCGACAGCCGCGCCAGCGTCGCCGCGCAGCGAGCAGCTGCAGCACGTGGCGCAGGTCACCAACCAGATCACCAACCAGATCCGACAGCAGCAGCTGCAGATGCAAATGCTGCATCTGCACCACCAGAAGCAGCAGCAGCTACTGCAGGCGCACATCCAGCAGCAGCAGCGGCTGGCGCAGCAGGCCACGTCGACCGAGCAGCAGGCGCTGATGCAGCGGCTGGTCAGCGAGGCGCGCGCGAGCCAGCTCTCGCAGTCGGCGCAGCAGAGGGACGATGGCGCTGAGTCGTTTGGAGGCGGCTCCCTCAACGAGCTGGTAGCTGAGCCCGACTTGATGGAGGAGATCATCAACTCGCTCTTCACCGAGGAGGGAGGCGCGCACTCGAGCTCCTCCGGCCGCACGAGCCCGCTCACGTCCATCCTTACGGGCGGCGGGTCGCGTTCGTCCGCGTCGGCGAACGAGGAGGGTGGCGGCAGCGGGGCGGCGGCGCGCGCCTCGAGGCCGCCGGGCGAGGGCGAGGCTGCTAGCTCGCCGAGCGCCGCGGCCGCGCTCCCCGAGGTGGGCCCGACGGGACCGCCCGCCCCGCCGACGCGCAGCGCTCCGCTCTCCCCCGCCGCGGACCGCGAGCCCCGCCCCGGCGAGGGCTGCCGCACCTCCGACGTCGAGATGCCCGAGGCTGGCCACTCGCGCGGCTCCGCCCCGCCCCGCCCGTGACGCCTGCTGCAGTCTCGTCTTGGCCGCATATCCCGGCCTCCACCCCATGGCGCTGCTTTCCCACGCGGGCGCGTGCGTAGCGGCGAGTCCCGACGCGTGTGGTGCCTCGTCACCTCCGCCGAGCGAGACACTAGCACCTCGCTGAGGCGGTGCCGTCCCTCCCGTCGCCGGGACCGCGGGACGCACACCCACACCCCACCCCACACTCGCGTGCCCCTGTGCCGCTGCCCGTTTTTCTCCCCGTAGCCACCGATTCTCCCGGTTTTTTGTGGTTCCTGGTACGTGTCTGAATCTGTGAGAGCTCGGTTTGAGGAGAGAGAGAGAGAGACGAGAGGGTTGCGTCCAGTAGTACTACTACCCGCCGTGCGCGAGGTGTAAGATAGGATGAAGAAAAGTTGGTTCTAGCGACTTCAGCAGCGCCTTTCCTTTCCCTAACTTATCGCCTAGGCCCTAGTTACGAGTGTAGTAGCTCGTTCCCGTCGCTCGTGCAGGGCGAGGGCCAGAGCGCAGAGCGAGGGCGGTGTGGCCGGTGCACTTGGGTCGTCGTAATTATTTTTGCTCGTCGTCTTCTCCGCGGTGCACCTGCGTTACATGTAGTGCCAGTGTGCAAGTGCCAGTGCCGAGTGCGCAGTCTTCCCGCGCCCAGTGTTGTGCGAGAGTGCTCAGAGTAGCGGAAAATTCTTTTCTTCCAGTGCGCGCCAGTCCTCCCGTGCCTAGTGTCGTGCGACGGAAACATAAACTTTCTTCACGCGTGGTGTACCTGTGTAGTGCCAGTGCGCTCCAGTCCCAAAGTCATATGTGTATCGAGCGCGCCTTGCGGGGGGGGGCGCGGAAAAGAGGAACCTCTTAGCGTCATCGCCATGGTGCTGCAAGCAGCGCCGGGCGACGAGACGACTTACCGCCTCCCGGTTCCCCTCTGCACACCTCCGCTGCTCAATGTTTGACGACTCGAACCCGTGAAGCTTCCCCGTGCGCGGGTTACCCCGCACACGAGTCAGCCTGCCAGCCACGCATCCACGCAAGCGTGGTCCGCGTGCATGGCATACAGGCGTCCGCCAGACAGCGCAGAGGCTAGGCGACCGGGGAAGGACTAGCTCAAGGGCAACACAGCGTCACCAGCCGTTGGCGCGCAGATCGAGTCAGCGGCCCCCGGTTGGGACGAGTGCGCGACGCGGACGAACCGCTCAATGTGGCCGGCAGCTCGCGCTGCCGGCGGGGTTGGTTGGGGAGAACCGGCACGGGGAAGGCCGGCCTCCCCAGAGGGGTCGCCCCCTGGAGGGGCCCCAAAGGGCCCCCCGGGGGGGCGGGGGCCCCCGCCCCGAGGGGCGGGGGCGGGTCCTTCCGTGTCGCTCCCGTCGTCGGGAGTGTCCGTCGGGATGGTGTCGTCCGCCCACTCGGCAGCGTTTGAGCCTCTGTCACCTTGCCTGCCGCGAGCAGCTAGCTCGTCGACGTAGTCGTTCCATTTGTTGCCGCTGTGACCCGCCACATGCCTCCACGTCACGGTGTGTTTGGCGCGAAGGCGTCGCCAGAGGGAACGAAGGCGCTCCGCTAGCTGTATGTTCGTTTTGGGGGTCACCCTCCCCATCATGCACGCCGCCGCGTACTCGCTATCGGTCCGCACTACTCCGCGTGAGCCCGCTCGTTGCGGTGACGAGGACAGGAGAGCACGGAGCAGCTCGGCTAGGGCGATTAGTTCCGCCGTGTTGTTGGTATGCTTTCGCGCGCCGAGGTAGGCTGGGTGCGCCGCCGAAGTGACAACTGGCCCGTAGCCCTCGCTCGTCAGCGCTGCGCCCTCATCGCCGATGGCGTCGCCCCCGATGAGTACTGTATAGGCCCACCCTGCTTTCCCTAGGTCTTCCGACCCGTCTGTGTATGCCACCCAGTCGGGCGGGCGTCGTTGCGCCTGTTCTGTCAGTTGCTGCTGTGGGCGAAGAACGACCCCTGTGGTGCCTCTACCATTAGTCTCAGCTTGACCCGGCATGCCCCCCCTTCGCCCTGAGGCGCTACACAGAGGAGTGCGACTGTGCTCACCGCGCAGCCGTTTGCCGCCACCCCTCGGAGCGACAGATTCGAGCGTCTCGGGGAGCTCGCACTCACCTTCGCTGGAAAAGAAACCTGAGGCGAGCCACTCCGTCTCCCACTCCGCAACAGGCCCCTCCCCTGGCGACGGCTGCCAGCCCGGGATTCGGAGGCGAATCGCCTTCTCCTCGTCGAGAGCTCGGCGGCGGGTGTGGGCGTAAGTCCGGATTAGGGCTCGGCGCGCCTCGTTGTAAATCGTGTCAACTCGCACGTCCGGCGTGTCCTCCGGCGCGAGGAGGGCGTTCCGGTGGCGCCGTCGTACGATGCCTGCAAGTGTCTCAAGCATAATAACGCGAGTCGGCGTCGCCCCAATGCGCCCCTCAGCCATCTGTCCTCTGCCCGTGGTCAGACGGAAACCGGTGATGCAGAGGCGGCGGTATTCGTGGACTAGCTGCTCCCTCCCCACGCCCCGTACCTCCTCTAGCACGGCTTCATCCAGGGTCGTGCATTCCAGGACTGCGCGGAGTACCGCCTCGAGGGTCAGTGTGGTGTATGGACATTCGAGGGCGAGGTGGCGTGTCGTTTCGATTGCTCTCACGCCGCCCAGTAGGCCGCACAGGTCGCACAGCCCCCGTCGACGTGGCTTCTTACATCTTCGCGGTCCAACCGGTAGCGCATCAGTCAACACTGAGTACGCCGTGTCTGACGTCGGCCGTGATAGGGACCTGTCGTGGATAGAGCGGAAGATAGACCGCGCTATCTTTCGTTCATCAGAGGCTGCGTTCTCGCCATTCCCCTCTCCCCCCCCGTCGCCGTCGCCATCGTCACTGTCGCCCTCGCCGTCACTTGGCTCATCTCTGCCTCCGTCCCCACCTACGTCGCTGCCGTCGGAGGGGCCCACTGCGGCGGTAAAGGCGTCTAGGAGTGGGCCCGCGACTGCCTCCTGCGCTAGCCACTCATCCTCCTCCTCGGATGCGTCTCGCCATCGCACCTACCTTGTACTCCGGCTCCCCTCGCTCGATGTTTGTGCGCTGCGCCAAGATGCACTCGATTTCCCACTCTCGGTTCGTGTCGTCTTGGATCGCGCGCCCTTCTCGTTCGGTATGAGCTAATAGATCATAGAAGCGCGTCGTGGCCGTTGCATCGTCCGTCCGTCCGGCGGGCGGGATGGGTCAAGGGTACGCATCGGTCGGTAGACCCGTGAGAGGTGTAGCGATGCGAGGTGCTTGACGGCCAGTTTCACCAGCGGCACCGCGGCGCGCACTCGCGTGGTAGGCGCGTACTGCACTGCCCCCTGGAGGGCTCATAAAAAAAAACTTCAGTGCGTCGGCTGCTTCCGTGCTGCTACATATGCTCGACGCTTTCGGCTCCTTCCTGTTTGGCCACGCATCGGCGCCACTTGGGTCGCCGCAGGCCGGGCCGTCATCGCCGCCTGAGCCGGTCCCGATGCACGACGACGGCGCGGCTGCGGTGCTTCCTCCCTGTGGGCTGCGGGCGTCGGTGGTCGGGTGCGGCAGGATGGGCTGCGTGATGGCGGGTGAGTTGGCACGGCGCGGCTGCGAAGTGACGCTCTACGATTCGACCGACTTCTCGAGGCGTCGTGCCATGCAGACGATGCGCGCCTTCCTCTACGAGCACGTCGAGCGTGGCTACCTCTCGACAGCGGACGTGGAGGAGGTCGTATCGCGGTGTACGCTGGTCGAGAATCTGATTGATGCGGTGGGCACGCAAATGATCATCGAGGCGGTACCGGAAGATCTCGACATCAAGCGGCGGCTGCTGAAGCAGATTGCGGAGACATACAAGCAGCTGTCGCCGCCACCTTTGCCTCCGCCGCTCCTTTGCTCAAACACAATCTCGCTTCGCATATCGGACCTGGCGGAGGGCCTGCCGCCCCCGCTCCGGGCGCGCGTCATCGGCGTGCGCTTCCTCCACCCGGTCTGGTTCGTCGACGAGGTCGAGGTCTCTCCGAACAGCGCGAGCGGCTCGGGCGCGGCGGGCGAGGTGACGGCGCTTCTATGCCGCATGTCTCTGACAGCGCACCACTACGATGGCCACCGGCCCCGCCGGCTGAATGACGAGCAGGCTCAAGCCTATGCGCGCAGGCAGCAAGGGCGCGCGCGCTCGGGGGCAGCCACCCCACGCGCCCCTATTGCCGCCGCTGCTGCTGCGGAGAACGGCAGCGGACAAGGCGAGCAGTGCTCGATCTGTCTCGATGCACCCCGCGACACGCTGACTGTGCCGTGTGGCCACGTGGCCTCCTGTGAGGCTTGCCTGAAGCGGCTACTCGAACTGCAGGGGCCGCACCGCGCCCTCTGCGTTGTGTGCCGCAAGCCGATCGAACGATTGGTTCGCGCGCCTCCAGCAGCTTCAACTCGGGAACAGCACGAGTGAGAGACTGTGAGAGTGTGTGAGACATAGAAAATGCGGTGTGCGAGTTTGTCAAAATGTTGCTTGTTGGCTGGACTTTGACCGCAGAGTCGCGCGAGCGCGCAGGCCTGATGCGATAGTACAAGTCCCGAGTCCGCGGACGAAGCTGTGGAAACCCCGAGACTCGAGAGAGACACAAACCGGCATCGCGCATGAATGACACAGACCGGCACGCGGCAGGCGGCGCGGGAGAGAGGAGACAAGACGCACGCAAGGACGCAGCAGCGTTCAGGACCACTTCACTTGTGGCGCCAGCATCCGGCGAGCCGCGAGGAAGGAGGCGGGGGGTTGAGCCATCTCGGGGTGTGCGGCGGGGTCAGCACCGCCTGTGGCGTCCGGCTTCACCAGTTCCCCTCTAACCAAGCCTGCACCGAGCTATGGTCCCTCTGCATAGTTTCCGGGAACGTCGGAATCTGGATGTCGGTGTGCTCGACAATTAGATTCACGAGGAGCTCCAGATCCTCTTGCAGTAGCATGCGCATCTTCTTCATGCCATCCAGCGGATTTTCATCGGAGGTGATGCTCGATGTGCGACCCAGAGCGCGGCTGCCTCCCGATCTGCTACCCAGCAGCTCCGATCCGCTGCGTACCCGGGACGCGTGCCCAATGTCCTCAGATTCGAGCCGCCTGCCAGAGTTGAGCGAGATCTCGCCGACAGCCCTGCGAAAGCGAGCGGCGAATGCGTCCGCCTCCACCGACGACACGTTGACGATGCGTGCCATCGTCCGCATGAACTCGCTAGACCTCTCATCGCCTCGGACCATATCGAGCATCGGCGCAATCACAAATTGCTGCGGGCGGAAGTAGAGCAGGAACCGCTGCAGCGCGGCCCCGTACATTGACCCGTAGATGGGCAACACGCCGCTGTTTCTCACGCTCTTCCACTCGCTCAGCTCGCGCTTGGAGAGGGTCGCCGGATCGTGGTTGAGCCCGAACTCATAGATGCTCACCGCGCGTGTGACGAACTTCTCGAAGGTGTCCCAGCTCGCCTTTTCGGACTGGTGCTTCAGGTAGTAGCCAAAGGGCTTGTCTTGGACGTGCCGGTACTCCGAGCCCAGACGGCTCATTGGCTCGCGCAAGCTGATGCCAAACGAGAGCGCATACCTCATGCCTCCGTATGCTGTTGCAATCCTCTGGGCGGCGTCGGGCAGTCCGAGATAGGTGCTAAAGTCTGCCGCAAGGAAGGGCTTAGGACGCGCGGCCTCACACGGCGGAAATCCATCGGGAAGGGCGCGTTTGACCGCCTCGACGTGTCCCAGCTGCATCCAATCGTCGTTGTCAAAGAAGCCGTCGTCATGAAATATGCGTCTCTCCTTGACATCGGTGCCTGTTCGCCACATCTTCCCTGCTTGCGTGCAGCTCTCATCTGAGTCCAACGCCGCATCGCGCTTAAAAGAGCCACCAGCTTGGATGCACTGGATGGGCTCACGGACATCTAGGCGCACGCCTTCCTTTAGGCACTCTAAGCACTTGCTCGCTGACTGCAAGTGGCCTCCACCGACCTCGTAGGCTGCCCCAATGGTGGTGGTCGCAGCCTTCTGTGCGCCCAAAAAGTACAGCTGCGGAACGATGTTTCCTTCAAAGCACAGCTCGGTGCCGCCAATGGCGGCTGCATAAATCTCAGGTTGGTTGCCCGCCGCAGCCAGACTAGGAGTCGGCGCCTCGCCAAAGTGGAATTCGCTGCTATTGATCGGGGATTCAAAGTCCACCAGCAACCGATGCTGGGACGCTGTCGCCGCGCATACGAGACTCGCGTGCGGGCCCCACAGACCTAGAGCGACCAGGCTGCCCCTCATAGCATCTGCCTGCGAGCGCGACACCAAAATTTCTACCCGTACGAGTTTTCACCGCGTTCTTTTACGTTACTAAGAAATTCTCGTACGGTAGTAACATTTACGTTGGCCCGCATTGCCACTTTCCCCAAATAGAAAATTAGATGGCTCGCATTCACGCCACCCACCCTTCTAAGGAGAGGAGTGTGGTGCTAGCCGTCGCCCACCCTAACCCTTGGTCGTCTGCCTCTTTCTAATCTCCCTTCGCACAGTCCCTCGCCGATTCTCGCTGCAACCTTCATGCCACCTCGCGGTCGTCCCACTCTCGTCGTTCTTCCTCCTGTCGCTTCCTCCTCTGTCGCGTCGCCCTCCTCTGCCTCGTCCTGCGACGCCGCCGCCGCCTGCCGCTCCCTTGCTCTCGCGGCTTCTTTCGCCTTTCGTCGCACGAGCTCTGCCCTCCTCGCGGCATATTTTGGCCCCTCGACTTTATCGAGCACTCCTCGCGCAAGGACGACTCTTCTGACGCCCACTGCGATCATTTGCCGCCAGGTCATATCGTTGCTCAGGTCCACTCTCTCTTCGAACACTTGTACCTTCACGGATGATGCGCTGGCGCTGGGGTCCCCTTCGGGTGCATCGTGACAGCTGACGACGAGATTACCACTGGTGTGTCGTCCTCCTCGGAGTCGTCTTCCCCGGCGTCCTCCCGTTCGGCTCTACGTTCAGCACGTTCAGCGTGGCTCACACCCTCCATCCATGCCGTGAACAGGCGCTTTATCCACCTTATATTCTTCGCTCGTTCCTCTGCCCTTGCCTTGGTCTTGTCGTTGTTTCGCACCCATGTCTGTATGGCAATCGAGGCTGCCTTCCCCACTACCTGTAGTTCTCTCGTCATCTCTCCTGCGAGCTGCCCTCTCTCTCTTTCTTTCGGGTATGGAGTCCGTGAGTGCGGGCAGCGTGCAGGCAATCACGGGCGCTATTTTGTCGTACTCCTCTTCGGCGAGCGCTAAGCTCGAGCACTCAACCCATTCTCACAGAGACGCCTCATTTTTCGCCCGCAGAATTCTTATGGTCCTGTGCCCAGTGTCGTGCGAGGGAGTTTTGTTGTAAAATTCTTATGGACACGCTGTAGTTTGCGCGGCCCGGCACTCAAATGGGCTCCGCTGTCATCGGCCTTGACGTCTGGCTTGCAGCGGCGAGGGGCCTTAGTACTCTGCCTATCGACGCGGGTGCTCCTGCGGATACACGGTCAAATCGGATGAGCGTGCGCGAGAGCAGTCGACAGGGCACAGCCCGCAACCGTCCTCGAAAGAATGGAGGTGGGGCTGCGAGGGCGTGCGTGGGGACGGAGAGCCTTTTTCTATAATTTCTTTCTTGGTGAAGGAGACGGTTCTGCGCCCGCCCTCAGTGTCGGTTCTGCGCCCGACTTTTTTTTTTTAGGAAGTTAATTACTCCGTCATGGATCTCGAAGTATCCAGTGCGGCAAGTCGAGGACACCGATGTCAGAGTATCGCTGAGTCGTTTTAGGCTTATGTGCCTTATCGGCGGGTTATCGTTGTTTTGGGCTTCCACTCTTTGAGATGGAATGGCGCTCCATTTGAGTGTGGAGCTGGGTACCGGTACCAAAGGGGTAGGGTAATGTGCTCAGTGGTGTATGAGAGTGGTCGCAAAAAATGAGAATTTTGAAGCCCCTTTCGGGGGATGGTGCGCCGCAACGGCGGGCTTGGGTCTAATAACTAGGTGGGCTGGGGACATGGGGCCCTCAGAAGGGTAGGGGTGGACTGTGCATGAAGGAGGATCAGACATGTACGCGTATACAGGGGGGGGGGGGGGGCGCGGGCGGGTGCAAGAGGGGGTGCGGGAGTGCAGACTGTCTCTTGAGAGCAGTCGTCGCCACGCGGGGAGAGCGGGCTGGCCGCAGAGCGGACGCTCGCTCCCCGGGCGCTGCGGGTACGCCCGCTGTGCGAAGAGGGGGCGCTAGCCGCTGGGCGGACGCGCCCCCTCCCGTGGCATCGCCAAGGAGTCCGCGCCAGCCGCCGCCGAGTCGCCGATCTAACGGGTCCCCAGATGCTGCACATCCCAGGCCAGTACTCTGGTGGCGAGACCGCCGAGTACCGGTGGACGCAGACGAAGGCGGAGCTCGAGGTCCGCGTTCCTCTGCCCGCGGGCCTTGCCGACGGCTCGGTCACATGCGAGATCCTGCCGCGCTCCTTTGCCGTGCGCGCGGGCGAGGAGGCTGTGGCGGTTGGAGGGGAGCTGGCTGCGGTGGTCGTGGTGGACGACTCTCTCTGGAGCGTTGAGCGCGACGGCTCCAGGGCCGAGGCCGTCCTCTCCTTGCGCAAGGCGGTGGCCGAGCTGTGGCCTCGACTTCTCGCCAGCGATGCCGAAGAAGCGGCAGAGCCGCGGCTTCTTGATGGCCTTGAGCGGAAGGCTCCGACCGACAAGAACGAGCTGCTTCGGCAGGCCAAGGAGCGCGCCAAGGGTGCGCTGGACGGCCCATCGAAGGCGGTGCAGCACGTCGTCGAGGGCAGGAGCGGCGAGCGGATTGCGCTCAACGCCTCCGGATTGCCGCCGCTGCCGGTGATCACTCTGCGCAAGTGCACTGAATGCGAGGTTGTGCTGGGGGAGGGCGTGGCCGCGGTGAAACTCCTCGTTGAGGGGTGCGTCAACACCACCGTCGCCGTCAACGGCAAGGTCCTCACGGAGACGATTGAGCTGTGGCAGTGCGAGGGCGTCGCAGTCAAGATAGCCTCCGCGATGAGGACGGTGCAGCTCGACGCCTGCAGCGGCGTGAAGCTGCAGTACGCGCGCGCGGCCGACTTCGATCGGTGCCTAACGGCCGGCGTCTTCGACCTCGCGCTCTCCTTTGCCGACGCGCCCTCGCTCGACGGCGAGGTCGACTTGGGCACGCTGCGTGCGCAGATGCCCGACAAGGGCCTCTCGGCAGAGACGGACCAGTTCATCTCGAGGCACGTGGAGGGGGCGCTGCTGACGGAGCTGATCGTCCGTCTGTCCAACGATTTCCCCACCACCGAGCGCGAGGTCGCCGACTTCGCCGCCAAGACGCGGATGAAGTCGGACAAGATCGACGAGGTCGTGCAGGGAATGCTCGGTTCTTCGCTCGGCCGCGAGCTGAGCGGCGCGGAGCGGCAGCAGATGGTCGAGATGGTCAAGTCGCAGTCGGAGGCAGCGGCCAAGGCGCAGCACACCGCCGAGGGCACCGCGGCCGGCCGCCACCTCGCTCGCGTCGAGTTCAAAAAGGCGGCCGGCAACGAGGCCTTCAAGGCGGGCGAGTACCAGCAGGCGGCGGTCGCCTACACCGAGGCGCTCTCGCTCGCCGCCTCGGGGCCCGAGGACTGCGGGGAGGGCGGCACGGTCGACCCGGCCATCGCGTCGGCCACTCGCTGCAACCGCGCCGCTTGCTTCCTCAAGCTCGGCCGCTACGCGCAGGCGCGCGAGGACGCCGAGGCGGCGGCGGCGCTGCAGCCGTCGTACGCAAAGGCGCACTTCCGGCTCGCGCTCGCGCTGCAGGCCGAGGAGAAGTTCCCCGAGGCCGTCGCCGCTTTCAACAAGGCGCTGCAGCTCGAGCCGAAGAACAAGGAGGCAGCCGCCGGTCTCCGGATGGCGGAGGTGCAAGCCACGCGCCAGCGGCGCCAGCAGCAGCAGTAATCCGCAAGCCGACGCGAAGTGACATGTGTTGTGTCACGTGCCCTCTTGGTTTGTCGTGCGCGTGCGAATATTGCGCGACTGTCTATAAAGAAAGTCAGGTGGTGAAAGATTTCTTTCTCGCCTGTGCGGTGGGGGCAGGCCACGCAGGGAAGAGCTGCTGTTATAGCGCAGCCAGACAGCCAGATAGACCCACAGCCAGCCACTCACCCCAGGCTCCCCAGTCAGGAGGGGAGGCAAGTGAACAACAACTTACGCATCATGTGTCTAACCAAGCCCACCACCCACCCAGAGAAGAAAGCGAAAAGTGGGCCACCGCCGCGTCTCACCAGGCACCTCTCTCGCCGCGCGTCCACAGTCAGCAGGTTAGGCAGACAGGCACGGCAGAGCAGGAGGCGCTTGTGGTTGGCGTGCTCTCGGCAGGCCGTGCGATCATGGCGTCTGTGCCAGCCTTTCTGTACACCTCTGAAGGACCCTGTACATAAGAGCGGGCGACAGCCGCGGAATCACTCTGCCCTCCACTGGGCCGTCCTTCTCGAAGTCGGCAAACTCTTCCAGTTGAAGCCTCATGAGAAAGTCGATGACGGCGGGGCCTGCCCAATCTGAATTCTCGGGTGAAATGGCGTCATATGCGAGGATCTCCCTCACATCCTGGACTTTGTTGAGGCTAAACTTGCAGAGCTCGAGGATCAGGGGGATCTCATACTTGTGCGCAAACCGGACGAGGTCATGTGGCCACACGATCTTGCTGAGGTTGAAACATTCTGGTACAGCTCCGTCCGAAGCGCTGATTTTATCGACGCAAGTGTCTACGGCCACCTTGTTGAACGCGTGCAGCAAAACAATGATGTCCTGCACGTCCTGGGCCTCAAAGTCGCTCGCATCAATCAGGTCCAGATTTGCGCTCCCAAACTCGTCGAGCAGCATCCTGAGGTGAGCGCTCAGGACACACATTTCGAAGCGCCGCGCCTGCACCAGCTCGCCGTTGGCACACCGGAATGCTATCGTCGCCTTGCTTTCTGCGAGCATGCTTGGCGACGGAAGACTGTTGACTCGCGGTCAAATCTCCGTTTGACGACCGTGACATGCGTGTGTGTATGCCATTCGCATGTTCCAAACTTGACAGTACCCGCTACGCCGCGCGATCACGTGCCCTGCCCACCCTCCACCCACCCCCCTTAGGCCATAATCTTAGCTCACATAATACTCGGACGCACGCACGATTGTACCTTCCGTTTGACACGGCGTGCGAGACTGCGAGAGCGAGCGAGCGCCCTCGAGAGCCCGAGCGAGAGAGACAGAGAGCGGGACAGAAGAGGACGACACGCGCGCCTACCACGTGCCCCAAGGTAAGGAAGCGGAAAGCGTCGAACTCGTTCGTCCCTGATAGCATAATCAACCGAAAAATGGCGGACGACGAGGTTGCGGCGCTCGTGGTGGACAACGGCTCCGGCATGTGCAAGGCGGGCTTCGCGGGCGACGACGCGCCGCGCGCCGTCTTCCCGTCCATCATCGGCCGGCCGCGCCAGCCTGGCGTGATGGTCGGCATGGGGCAGAAGGACTCGTATGTCGGCGACGAGGCGCAGTCCAAGCGTGGCATCCTCACGCTCAAGTACCCGATCGAGCACGGCATCGTCACCAACTGGCGCGCGCTCCGCCGCCGCCGCCGCCCCCCAGTCCATTCCCGCAACCCCCCTCCCGGGACCCATCTCACGCCCGTCTCTCCCCGCCTGCAGGGATGACATGGAGAAGATCTGGCACCACACCTTCTACAACGAGCTGCGCGTGGCGCCGGAGGAGCACCCGGTCCTGCTGACCGAGGCGCCGCTCAACCCCAAGGCCAACCGCGAGAAGATGACCCAGATCATGTTTGAGACCTTCAACGTGCCCGCCATGTACGTCGCCATCCAGGCGGTCCTCTCGCTGTACGCGTCGGGCCGCACCACCGGCATCGTGATGGACTCGGGCGACGGCGTCTCGCACACCGTGCCCATCTACGAGGGCTACGCGCTGCCGCACGCCATCCTGCGCCTCGACCTCGCCGGCCGCGACCTGACCGACTGGATGGTCAAGCTGCTGACCGAGCGCGGCTACTCCTTCACCACCACCGCCGAGCGCGAGATCGTGCGCGACATCAAGGAGAAGCTGGCGTACGTGGCGCTCGACTTTGACCAAGAGATGCAGACCGCCGCCTCCTCCTCCTCGCTCGAGAAGTCGTACGAGCTGCCCGACGGGCAGGTCATCACCATCGGCAATGAGCGCTTCCGCTGCCCCGAGGCGCTCTTCCAGCCTTCCTTCCTGGGCATGGAGTCGGCGGGCGTGCATGAGACGACGTACAACTCGATCATGAAGTGCGACGTCGACATCCGCAAGGACCTGTACGCCAACGTCGTCCTCTCGGGCGGCACCACCATGTACGCCGGCATCGCCGACCGCATGTCCAAGGAGATCACCGCGCTCGCGCCCGCGTCGATGAAGGTCAAGATCATCGCGCCGCCGGAGCGCAAGTACTCGGTCTGGATCGGCGGCTCGATCCTCTCTTCGCTCTCCACCTTCCAGCAGATGTGGATCTCGAAGCAGGAGTACGACGAGTCGGGCCCGTCCATCGTGCACCGCAAGTGCTTCTGAGAAGCAAGAGCAGGCTTCATGCCTCCGTGACAGTTCTCTGCTCGCCGTTTTCCCTCAGATGTCGAGACTCGGGCCGATGTCAGAAGATGTCGATTAGGTGACTCGGGCCGATGTACTGTGTGCGGTGCATAGAAATCATGCTACAACATATACCGCCTCTCCTGCTCCGGCTCACTTGTCAAGAAAATTGTTTGTGTGTGTATGTAGAAATGTAAAAAAGAGTCCGCTCGCGGCCCGGTACCCCCCCCCCCCCCCCACACCCGACTATCGGCGGGGGTGAGCCCCGCGCACCTCGTCCAGCCAGCCAGCCTCGGCGCTGACTGGTTCGCGCGCTGCAGAGAAAAGGGCTTGAGAGCTCTTGTCATGCTTCCGATCCAACGAGAAACCAGACCGTAATCGCGGCGCGTTCGTGGTGATTGGGCCTGACCTCGTGCAACATCGCCTGCGCATCAAACAGCACCATCCGCCCTCCGATCGGCGGAATGTCCACATGATGGCACTCGGACGTCGAATCGCCTCCCGCATACACCCTGAGGCAACCGCCGTCCTCCTCCCGCCAAGGCCGCGCGCCATTAGGTCCGTTGTCGTTGAGGTAGAGGATGCCCGTCACCAACCGCCGACCGAGTCCCCTCAAGCGGAGGTGGCTGAGTGGACCGGCTGCTGCCTCTGCACCCCCGCCGTCTCGATGTGGCTTGTAGAAGGCACCTCCCGGGCCGTAGATGGCAAGTTGCGTCTCGTCCGGTACACGGAGTGGAATACTCTCATCGGCATGAGCAAGGAATCCGCCGAACCCTTCTCTCTCCAAGAAGTGCCCGACTGAGCGGAGCAGCCGCTCGCCGTGCGTGAGGCAGGGCAATACGGACTTGAACTCCCCCCGCACCGCACTGTCGAGGAAGAGCGTGCGGTCCGTGCGCACCGGGTCAGAGTTTCCGCCGCTCGCGATATGGTTGGGGTTCCGCGACAGCCGGTCCTGGACGCGCTCCGCCTTGAGCTCCTGTGCGATGCCCTGCAGCTCGTCTGCCCCGAGCGCGCCATCGAGGACTACGATTCCGTCGCGCCTCAGCCGCTCGAGATGGGCACCGCGCAGTCCTAGCGAGCTCAGCACCGTGCTCGATGGCGAGAGGGGAGCCCTAGATCGCTGCAGAACCGCAGCGGGCAGGCCGCCGCGCGGGAGGAAGAGGGAGGGCAGCTCGGCTGGGCTGCGAGATGGTGTCGCAACGGCCAGATCGCTCTCGAGATCCTGCACGAGGTAGGCGCTCTCTCGAGCGGGAGATGCTCGCCTCGCCTCCGATTCGCCCTCGTGAAAGGCACGCACAGCAGCTCCGCCTGCTACGAGGAAGAGGCCACCGGCAAGGCCGACCGACACGGCATTTGCCTCGAGTGCCGCGATGACGCCCGCCGGGGCCTGGGCAGAGGACGACCCCGTGGTCCGAAACCTCCGGGTGACGTCGCGTGCACGTTTTGCGTGTCGCACTGCGCGCATAATCGATGTTGTGAGTCGGGCGTCCCTCTGCACGATTGAACATGCGGGCCAGCCTCGCTGGTCCGTGAATCAGCACTCTTCACGGACGGTTTGATTGTGGAAACACCCAATCTGTGCACTCCTTATTATCTCCCCCTCAACCTCCTCTCCGTCCTTGAACCCGGAGCTGCCAGGCCGTAACGGGTTTCTTGCCGTCGTATCCCAGCGGATCTCACCGTCGGCCACACGCCCACTGTATCCCTCACCGCGAGCGCACGCTCCGTACCCCGTGCACATCGATGCTCTTCGCCTTCGCCGAGAGCTGGCTGAGTGCGCGGGTTGTGTCGGCGGCGCCGTGCAGCCCGTCCACCCAACTCGCTGACTGCGGCCCGATCCACATTTGCGCGCCGTGGCCGAAGGGAACTGACGGCAACATATGCCGGCCGTGCGTGGACGACTCCGAGTGCGAGGGTGGGCCCGAGATGGAGTGCCACATTGACGTGGCACACGAGTGGGCGTTCGCGACCAGCCACGGCCTCCCGCCTCTCTCCGAGGCGGTGTGCGCCCACAAGTCTCTCCTCCCTCTCGACCTGCACGACACCGTCGGGTTCTCGCTCACGATCGTCGCCTCCGCGCTCGCGTCCGGCTCCGGCATTGGCGGCGGAGGGCTGCTCATCCCGCTCTTGATCCTCGTCTTTGGCTTCCCCGAGCGCCGGGCGACGCCCCTCTCCAACGTCGTCATCCTCGGCGGCGCGGTCGCCAACCTCGGCTTCAACCTCTGCAAGCCGCATCCGAGCCGTCGCAAGCCGCTCATCGCGTTCGAGGTGGCGCTCATGATGGAGCCGATGACGATGCTCGGCGCTCTCGTCGGCACCACCCTCAACAAGATCTTCCCGAGCTGGCTGACGACGTTGATGCTCGTGCTGCTGCTCAGCTTCACCGCGCGGCGCACCTGGGCAAAGGGGAGGGAGCGGTGGGACAAGGAGCGGGCGAGGCTGCGCTGTGCCGCCGACGAGAGCCAGCAGTCGGGCCTCCTGGCCGCCGAGCAGTCCTCTGCGGCGAGCGAGCGCAGCTCCGTCCTCAACCTCGCCGGCGCTGCAGCCGCAGGCGCGGACCTCCGCACCGCCTCGCTGGACGAGGAGGAGGCGGAGGCAGCCGCGCGGCGCCGCTCCGGCCAGCTCGAGGCGCTGATGCGCGCGGAGCGGCGGCTGCGCCACTACGCGCGCGACGTGTTTCCCCTGCTCGCGCTGCTGGTCGCCTGCTTCGCCCTCTCGCTGCTGCGCGGCACGTCGCGCTCGCACTCGCTGCTCGACGTGAGCTGCGGCTCGCCCGCCTACCTCGCGCTCTGGGCCGCGCAGCTGCTGCTCCTCGTCGCCGCCTCGCTCGCGATCCGCGCGGCGCTCATGCGGCGGCACGCCCGCCGGCGCGAGATCGGCTACCCGTTCCTGCCGGACGACGTCGAGTGGACTGTCTCTAACACGACCCTCTACCCGCTGCTCTGCGTGGGGGCAGGGCTCTGCGCCGGCGCGCCTCCCGCCAGGCGGCGGGCCGTTCGCGCCGCGTCCATGACATGTCCGACCGCCGAGTCGTCCGTAGGCATGTTTGGCATCGGAGGCGGGATCGTCAAGGGGCCGCTGATGCTCGAGATGGGGATGCTGCCCGCCGTCTCGAGCGCGACCGCCTCCTTCATGATCCTCTTCACCTCGGCGACCGCCGCGCTCAACTTTGCCCTCTTCGGCGCCCTCGACCCGCAGTACGCCGGCGTCCTCTTTTGCGCCGGCTTGGCTGGCACGTGCGCCGGCCAGCTCGGGCTCGACTGGCTGCTCCGCCGGCTGGGCGCGTCCCAGAGCCTCATCGTGCTGCTCATCGCGGTGGTGATTGGCCTCTCCGCCGCCATGATGGGCGTGGTCGGCACGATTGCCGTCGTCGAGGAGGTGCGGCACGGGGTGCCGCAGGGCTTCCACTCGATCTGCGCCACCGAGGCGAGCGGCGGCGACCGCTACATTGAGTGAGGCAGGGGGGGTGTAATCTGTAATTGTGGGGCCTTCCCACTCCCGCGCTGTCACCCTCTTTCTCTCTCACTCAGTCAAAGACCGTGCGAATGTGTTGTGCATGATGAATATGTGTTGTGCGAATTGTGCGTCCCAAATGGAATTTCGCGCTTTTCCCACCCCGCTAAAGCCGCGTAGTCGCGCCGCCCCGCGCCCGACCACACCCACAAAGAAAACCCTGCACAAAGATCGCAAGCGGCAAGGGCGGGTGGGACCTGTTCCTTTTTACCCATCTCACAGTAGAGAGGTGTCCGTTTTTATTTATTTATTTATTTATGGCCGTTTTTTCCCTCGGGGGGGACCCAAGCCCTCTCAGCTCTCTCTCGTGCCGTCCTCCCATCCCTCCCTTGGGTTGTCTGTTTTCTTTCTTTCTTTTTCTCTCGGCCGCGCTCTTCGAAGACGAAGTCTGCTTCGTTTACGCACGGCGCAAGCTTTAGCGTTTAGGAGCCGTTTCTAGGGATTAGACCTGGCGAGTAGAGGCCCCGCCCACCCAGGGTACCTACGAGTGACCCATTGGTGTCTTGGTTGCTCTTTTGAGGCCTCGCCGGGGGCGGGGCTCTACTCCAAGTACCAAGACGCAAGAGCGTGCGTGCGGTGCCTCTACGCGCCAGGCTTTAGGCGGCTCCCGTGGTGTATGTGTTGGTGCCAGTGCGCACCACAGTCCCGTGTGCTCAGTGCTGTTTGATTGATTGATAGGAAGGGGACACAGTCCGACCAACGAACCTTTCCTCCTGGGAGCGCGAACGAGAAAAGAATCTTGCGCTCGCCGGCGTTCGGTCTCAGCCTGACGTCTGTTCACACAAAAACACAACCCCGGCCCAAGACGCACAAGCTCAGACAGTCGAGAAAGGGATAGTAAGACAGCATCGACAGTCAGAAGTCAGCGCTGGGTCCCAGGGCGAATGCGATGACGGCCTCTAGTGTGAGCTCTAGCTAGTAGGTAGGTAGGTAGAAAGGTGAAGAACAGCCAGGCTCGGACTGGACACCAACGCGGTATGGGTGGACGGCGAGACAGATGATGACGACACGCACGAGCGACACACAGACACAAACAAGCTCACAAGACACACAGCCAGCTGGCTGCCACACACCCTGAGTCGGCGTACACATAACTCAGGGCCACATTCTTCCTGTCGCCCCCCCCCCAGCACTCCAAGGTGCCAAGAGGAACAAACAAAGGCACAACATCACAACAGATGACAGGAGTAACATGCGAGGCTAGAGCAGCTTGCTCCACCTCTAGCAATCTCGCCGGCCGGCGAGGCACGGACGAGACCGTGTGTGGGGTCTAGTGAGGTGTCTATGGACGCCCTCCTCAGAGGCTAGCTGCCTACTGCTAGCCCTATCTCGCACTCACGGGCAGTGACAATTCAATGGGTGAGTGTTTGCGAGCAGAAGCGCGTGTGCTAAATCTAGGCCGCACGTCGTGGCACTATGATGAAGTTAGACGTGCGGCCGCAGCGCGCCCGCCCCAGGCTCGACGGGGCGCGCGTGTTAGCGAGAATGTTGCGGGGAGAGCCATGCCCGACTTTTCGAAGGTGAGGCCTCTGCGACGAGTGCCAGCCGCGCTGCGGAGCCACACCCTTCGAGCCGCGTCCCGTCGGCACTGCCCCTGAGTGTGTCCCGCCTTGGCGGCACACACTCTCGACGAGGACAGTCCGGCCTACGGGAACGTGTCGCGCGCCGGCGACGGTTGCGGCGTGGTGGTTTCGAGTACGACGCGAAGATGGCACGACCACCGCCCTGCATCGCAGACCGGGCAAGGAGGGGCCTGCTCCCGTTCCGCGGAACAGGAGATCTTTCCCCCTCCCCCGGCCTGAGCAGCGACGGGTGGAAGGCAGCCCCTTGAGTCGAGGGCGGCGCGACCATTGCCCCGCCTCAAAGCCCGGAGGCCTGATCAGAGCAGATGAGAGATGTTCGCGCCGCCCCGCTCCGCGCCGCCCGCCGCCGCGCCGCGCCGCCGCCCGACGATTATTAATTCATTATTAATTAATTAATTAGTAATTATACCACCCGCCGCCGCCCCGCCCCGCCCTGCGTCGCCCGCTGCCTCGCCGCGCCGCCGCCTCGCGCCGCCCGCCGCCGCGCCGCTCCGCCGCCCGAGGATTAATAATTAATAGTTATTACCCGATTATTAATAGTGTGTGTGTGTGTGTGTGTGTGTGTGCGTGTGTGTGTGTGTGTGTGTGTGTGTGTGTGTGTGTGTGTGTGTGTGTGTGTGTGTGTGTGTGTGTGTGTGTGTGTGTGTGTGTGTGTTTGCCTGACGGCAGCGAAGTGCAAGGCAGCGGCGAGCGGCAGGTGGCGTCGGCGACGTACTCAGGACACGATGGTGAAGCCCACAGCGCAGGAGCCCCGCAGCAGCGCCGACCGCGGCCTCGCGCCGCGTCGGGTGCGGTCTTGGGGCAAATGTAGATTTCCTGCCCAGCGTAAGGATATTTCTTGCATTTCTTTCTTCTTTATTTCGTGCCCCGCCACGGCAAATTTGCGAGAAATTTCTTCGCCCCGTCACTCCATGCTCAAGTTTCGCCCCTTTCCGTGTAAGGAACAAGGTGTCCCCCATGTTGGACCAGGCACCGTGCGGGCCTGCCGTGCCTTGCTTGAGCCGGCAGGCCCGCGCGGCAGTGATGGTGCGCCTCCGCGGAGAGGCTGACGCTGGTCATCGGTCAGCGGTCAGCGGTCATCGGTCACCGGTCAAGCAGGTCATCGGGCGTCAGTGTCATTCAGGCGTCAGTGTCATTCGCGTCAACACAGGTATGGTAAATTTCCGGAAATTTCTCCTTCCGAACAAGGCTGTCATATTTCTCAAAATATTTCGGGAAATCTACATTTGCCCCAAGTGCGGTCTGAGCGAGGCAGCCTGTACTCCACAACCTCCTTGGCACTCCCCCGACGAGCGGCGTGCTATGCGGGCCCGCCGCGGGCGACGCGGGCGGCGAGCCGACGTGCGTGCCGCAGTCATAGGCAGCGCTGGCGAAGCGAGGCGGTCGGCGCAGGCCCCCGGATGCGGTCGCAGCGAGAGAAGCGAGACAGTAGATGCTGTTGGAAGGGTGGGGAGCAGCCTGCCGTCGAGCGGCGCGCTGCGCAAGCCCGCTGTCGGCGGCCCGATCGGAGAGCTCATAGTCGTGGTACCGTACTATTGAGCGCGCTATCGCGGCCGAGACGGCCCGCCCTGTCCCTGTAGACCATCCCAGAGAGTTGGCGATGCTGTACAGCATGCCCAGAGCATGCTGGACAGGCTCCCGTCGAGCGACGAGCCATGCTGGCTCGTCGCCGGCGGCGAGCTCGAAGACCCGCGCCGAGCTTCGCCGAGCCTGGCGGGCCCGCCCGCACGCCCGCGGTCGCAGGCAAGGAAGGCGAGCTTGCTGGCGTCTTTGGCAAGCGCTCACATGCCAAAAGACACCTCGCAGCGCGCGAGACGTGACCAAAGCCGTCTCGGCGCCGCGAGAGCAGCCGGTCGACGTCGGCACCAAGCGCGCGGCCGCCGGGCGCCTCCGAACCGACAGGGGCGCCGCGGCAGTAGAGAGCACTCCACCGACATACCGTTTTTATGGCGGGTACTCGACGTCTGCAGTGAGCTCATCGACGTCTGTTCACATAAACGCACAACCCCGGGCCCCGTCTGTTCACACAAAGAAGCGGCGCAATTGTAGCGAGTCGCCGGCCAGCGGGTGGTCGGTCCCAAGCGCTGGCTGCGAGCAGATCGGGTTCGACAGCCGCGAGGAAGGGCTCGAGGGAGGCGTCTGTCGCCAGCGTGCCCTTTAAAAGCAGCGGCTTCAGCGCCTTCTCTTGCTCGGCAGTGAGAGGCATGTGTCGATCGAGGTTCCTAGCACCTGACTTGCCACAGCCGCCGCGTTGTAAAATTCTTTCACACGCAGGTCAAGCGGGCTGCCAGGCAGCAGTCTGTTCACTGCGCAGCACTGCAGCACCAGTTGCAAGAACGATGCGCAGCCGCAACCCGCACTGGCGCGCTGCGAAGCGGCAGGAGGACGCGGCCGAGCTCTGGCGGCGGGTTGTGGACGCGGCTCAGATTTGCTCGGTGCTGCGCGCCCGCGCCGCCTTGCTCGCCGCCTCACCAGAGCTCATCGATGAGGCGAGGAGCGGCCCACTCGGCCTGATCACGCCCGTGATCCGTGCGGCCGGCGCGCGCAAGACAAAGGCGGCCGCCGCGCCGCGGGAGCTTCTCGAGACTGTGCGGCTAGCGCTCGACAAGGGCTTCTCGGCCGACGCGCCGTGCCCGCAGGTGATGGCGTGGGAGATCTGGTCGCCGCCGCTGGTGACGGCCGCCTCGTACGGCTACGAGGACGTGTGCGAAGAGCTGCTGCGTCGCGGCGCGTCGCCCTCCTCGCGCAACTCGGACGGCGACACTGCGCTCCACGTGGCGGTCGAGCAGCCGCGCGTGCTGCGGCAGCTGTTGCGCGCCGCCGACTTCCGCGCGCTGGTGGGCGCCGAGAACAGGTGGCGGCTTACCCCACTGGTGAGCGCGCTGGTCGCCTCCCCCTTCAAGGCCAAGCACTGGGAGTGCGCGCTGCTCCTCGCGCCCCACGCGCTGCTGAGCGACCGCGACCTCGCCGTCCTCGCGGCGCGGAGACGCGTCCCTCGGCTGGCGAGCTTGGCGCACGCGCTGGCGGTCGCAAGCGGCCGGCGCGGGCTGCCCGCCGATGCGATGCACTGGCACCCGGCGTGGCACTGGTCCTTCCCGCCGCCCGACCGGCAGGCGGCCAGCCTGCTGCGCGCCCACAGCGCGCAAGGCAGCCCCCTGCCGCCCGAGCTGTGGCTGCACGTGCTCAGCTTCTGCCGCCGCGGCTGGTTCGCCGCGCCCGCGCGCGAGCAGTCGGACGCGGACGAGCCGCTCCTCGACAGGGCACGCGAGGCGGTCCGGCGGCGGGGAGCCGGCGCGCTTGCGGCGGCGGGGGCCGACGACGCGCGGTCGCTCGGGCTGCGGAGGAGGATCGCGAGATCGTGATGACTCAACCCCATTCTTGGTCACACCCGAGCGCTGCGCGGCTGGTGGGGTGGTGTTGTCTGTTGACAGCTCTGTCCTCTGAGAGCTCATGACTCATATGCTCATCACACAGCGATCAGCGTCATTCTCAGAACACAGTCAGGGGGCTGGCGAGTCTAGTACTGTCTAGACTCTAGTGTTGTCGTTAAAACGTACGGCTTTAAGAGCTACTACACTTTATCTTGCTTCACACATCCTAGCATCCAGATCATGGATACATTTGAGCGTACTAGGGTCCGTCAAACGCACTCTCGTGGGAGCTACATACACTGAAAAAGATATACAAGAGCCGCGGCCGGTTGACGGGTTGAGGCCGGGCTCGCGGGCCCGGCCCGCGACGGCTGGCCGCCGACGAGCGCGCTCGCGCTGCTCGTCAAAATGGCGGCGGTGGCGATTGCGGAGAGGGTCGTTCAGTCGCTCAGCGCTCAGGCGTCTGTCGTCTGTCGTTGTCGCATTTTGCACACGCGCGCGCCGCGCGACCCGCGTCGCTCCGCGAGGGCATGAGCCTTCCGCGCTTCGATCCCGCAGCCAAAAAAGCTGCTCGCTCGAACCGCGGCCGACTCTGCCATCGCGGCTGCAGCTGTTGAGCTCTCCAGAAGACTGGTGCCTGATATGCTGCCTCCCTGCGGATGCTGCCGGCGAGCCTCTGGTGGTCCGCTGTACTACAAAGAGATGTGCTGACCTGCTGACTCGATGCCCCCCCCGCAATCTTCTACCCCCACGACTCGGAACGCGAATGTGACAGGACCATCGGGTCCTTCGGCCACCAAAGCGAGATCACCCGAGAGCAGCTGAGTCTGCCTCTGTCCCCTCTTGCCTCCGTGGCGCGTGATGGGATGGGGATGGAGGAGAGTCACGGACTTGGGCTGGCGTGGAGCGGGAAGCACTCTTCGTCATTTTGTAGTACGCCTCGAAGTTGCTATGGCTGCCCTTCTCGCCTGGAAGAGCCCCCCCCCCCCCTCTCCCTTCTCCCGCCCCCTAGGTCCAGCTGACGCGGCGCACATACCCTCTGCTATCTCTTGCAGGTGAAGGAAAGGCACAACTCAGAACGATGGGCTTGCCCATCCCGGAGTGGTTCGATTTAGGCTTTACGTATGTTTCCTCTCGCACCCTGCCTGGTTTCCTTTCCGTGTTTCCTGATCGTTTCCCTACAGCACCCTCTAGTTTCCTGGGGAAACTCCTCATCATACATCACTCAATTTCCCGGGCTCTGAGCCGAGTCTGAGGCTGGTTTGGGCCCAAAATCAGCCAAATCGGCAAAATACCCAGGTGTGTATTCTTTTTGCTTGGGGCGGCCAGCATGCCGGGGTAGGTAGGGTAGGTCTGGGCGCTCCCGTCGGGTTTTTTCCTCTCTTCACGCCGGAATTTTCAAAAAAAGAAATTTTCGGCGAAAATCACGACGTCAACCCTCCCCAAGTGGGTGATCTGGTGCTTGTAGGGCTTGATAGTGGCCTGCCACGTCACAGGAAGGACTGTGATTGCAGGAGAGTACCGCCAGCCATCACTGTAGTTGGTATAGTACCCCACCTTCACCAGGCCCGTGATTTCTTTTTTAGTTTCCCATAAGTAGGGTAGGTAGGTAGGTAGGTAGGTAGGGGCACCGCAGGGGCCGGTCAGGTTTTTCCAGAATTTCAGCATGCTGGCCGCATCAAGCAAAAAGAATACACACCTGAAATACCGGGTATTTTGCGGGTAATCCTGGAAAACCCCAGGTATACATGTCATGTGCCTGGAAAATACCCGGTAGTTTGCCGGTTTCCTCGGTTTCGCCTCAGATCTTGCCCCAAACCAGCTCTCAGACTCCGGGAAACTCGGAGTTGCCAGAATGGAGCACCAAACACCCTCTGGTTTCCCTGGAAATTTCCGGAAACTCCAAGTGCTGGGGACCCTCTGGTTTCCCTCTGGGCTGCCGGAAACTCTCGTAAAGGCCAAGGTTCGATCCCACACGAACCCGAGACGGTGACGGGAAGCGAGCGGCGGTCTCAGGCCCAGTGAGGCAGTGCGCCAGCCTAACCCGGATCCTGCTGAACAAGCTCCTCTTGTAGCTCGATCGGTCACACCGCCATCGCCGCCGACGTCTCCCAGTGAGATGATGGAGAGAGAGGGGGGACGACACTGCTTCAGCAAGCAAGCAAGCAGCGTGCACCTCGATCCTGTACCGTGTTTGTTACGAACCCCCCCCCAATGAACACACCAGTGAGGGAGGGCGAGACGATCGAGGGGTCCCGTACCATGTGGAATCGACCCTATCACACACACACACACACACACACGAATCGACCCTATCAAGTGCTCAGTGCTCACGGCAAAGGCAGGAAAATTTCTCGCGGTCGGTCGAGCACCACTTGAAAGCGATGTCCGCCTCGGCCTCTCAGACCCTCCGCCACGTCTTCGCTCCGCTCAGCTCCAACTCGCCCCGCCCGCCGCCTTCAAAGAAAAGCTGGAGCGCGCGCATCCAAAAGAAGTCGCCGCGCCAAGCACTCGCAGCGGCGCTCTGCGGCGCAAATGCACACTTTGGAGGCTTTGGCTTTGGAGGCGCGGCGTCGGAGCCGCCCGAGCTGCCTCCCGGGCTGGAGGACTACACCCTCGAGCGACCGCTCGGCAAGGGTATGTTTGGGGCCGTGTGGCTCGGCCGACATTCCGGAATGGGCCTCTCGCGGCCAGTCGCTGTCAAGGTTTGCGCGCTCGATGATGAGGAGGAGACGAGCGCGGCGGACGTCGCGCACGAGGCGGAGATGCTCGCGCGCCTCTTCTCCGGCGCTGATGTTCCCGCGAGCCGGCTCCTCCCGCGTCTGTTTGCGTACCAGACAGATGCGCTCCGGGCGGCGCTCGTGCTTCAGTACTTTGAGGGCGTCGAGCTGAGGGAGCATGCGAGCGCGGCGGGTGGCTTGCTCAGCGAAGTGGAGGCGCGGCGGCTGACGGCCCTCCTCCTCGAGGCGCTCGCCCACGCCCACCGCAAGGGCGTGGCACACGGCGACGTCAAGCCCGAGAATGTGCTCGTCACAGTGCCCGACGCCGCCTCGCTCATGCTGGTCGACTTTGGCAGCGCGTCCGCCTTCGACCCGGAGGCGGCGCCTCGCGTGGCGGAGAGGGGAGGCACGCCCAACTTCATGGCTCCCGAGCGCCACCTCGCGGGCGGCGGTGGCGCACAGCACTTCGACGGCCGCGCGTCGGACGTCTGGTCGGCGGGGTGTGTACTCTTCTCTCTGCTGCGCGGCCGCGCGCCGTACGACTGGGAGGCGGCCGAGGCGCAGGCCGACGCGGAGGGGTGGAGCCGCGGCTGGCCAGAGGCGAGCGGCCATGCCGCGGCCCTGCTGCGGCGCGTGCGGGATAACGACCCCTTTTCATGCGGCGAGGAGGAGGACGAAGAGGAGGACGAGCCGCCGCCGGTGAGCGGGTCGACGGAGCGGCTCGTGCGGCTCGCCACGCGCTTCGAGCCGTCGGAGCGGCCGACCGCTGCCCGGCTGCGCGAGGAGCTGCTCGGCGCTGCGGTGCCGGAGTCGGCTTTTGCGCGGCTGGCGCTGGGGGCGGCGAGCTGAGCGTGAGATCTGAGCGAGAGCGAGGTGATTCCGATTCCGATTCCGATTCCGGTGCGGTGGCGTGGTGGAAATTTGGCAGCATCACCCTGCACGAAGCACGAGCACGAGAACTGGTGAACCGAGTTGTGTCGGTGGTGTGCCGTGCGCGTGTCCCGCCTCCTGTGTGTGGGAGTATGCTGTATGGTGTGGACGTTGTGTGCATGCACAACAACATGCACATGCACATGTACATGTGACACCCCGGCGAGAGGGGACCTCACGGGGAAGAGACCGAACGGCCGGCCGGATTAGCGATTACTAGATCACACCACCCAAAAGCAAAACCGCCCTCCTTTGATCAAATCTGCGCCCTCGCCCCTTAATGTGTGTGTGTGTGTGTGTGTGTGTGTGTGTGTGTGTGTGTGTGTGTGTGTGTGTGTGTGTGTGTGTGTGTGTGTGTGTGTGTGTGCTCACAGAGACACCAACACACCGCGCACGCACGCCCGAGAGCAGCGTGCACTTGGGAGGGCGACGCAAACCAACCGCCTTTGATCGGATTTGCGTCCCCCTCCTAACCCAACTCGCCATGCTGCGAGTCTTGCTGCGCCAGCCACGAGCGCGGGGCACCCTACTGTCGCCGCGAACCCTCCTTTGCTCGACGCGGTCCATGCACCTCTCGCCGCGCGAGCTCGACCACCTGCGGCTCGCGCAGGCCGGCCAGCTGGCGCAGCGGCGGCTGGCCCGCGGCTGCCGGCTCAATCATCCCGAGGCGGTCGCGCTCATCTCGTCGCAAATGATGGAGATGATTCGCGACGGGAAGCCGGTGGCGGAGCTGATGGCGACCGGCCAGCAGCTGCTGGGCCGCCGGCAGGTGCTGCCTGGCGTCGCGTCGCTCGTCGCCGAGGTGCAGATCGAGGCGACGTTCGAGGACGGCACGAAGCTGCTCACGGTGCACTCGCCGATCTCCGCGCTCGACGGTGACCTCTCGCTCGCGCTGCACGGCTCCTTCCTGCCCGTCCCCGACCTCGCCGCCTTTGGCGAGCTCGAGGAGAGCGAGGTGCCCGGCGCCACAGTGTGCGCCGAGGGCGGCATCACGCTCAACGCCGGGCGGGAGCTGATCGAGATCGGAGTCACCAACTCGGGCGACCGGCCGATCCAGGTCGGCTCGCACTACCACTTCATCGAGACCAACGCCGCGCTCGTCTTCGACCGCGCAGCCTCGTTTGGAAAGCGGCTCAACGTGCCGGCCGGCTCGAGCGTCCGCTTCGAGCCGGGCGAGTCAAAGACGGTGACGCTCGTCGCCGTCGGCGGCAACAAGGTGGTCGTCTCGGGCAACAAGCTGGTCGACGGGCCCGCGACGCCGGAGCGGCTACCCGAGGTCATGGAGCGCGTCGCCGCGCGCGGCTTTGGGCACGCGCCGAGCGCCTCGCCGCCGCGCGCCGGCTCGCCACTGGTGATGTCGCGGCCAGAGTACGCGGCGATGTTTGGGCCGACGGTGGGCGACCGGGTGCGGCTGGGCGACACGTGCCTGCTGGCCGAAGTGGAGAAGGACTACACCGTCTACGGCGAGGAGGTCAAGTTTGGCGGCGGCAAGGTGCTGCGCGAGGGGATGGGCCAAAAGTCGGGCGGCGCCCCGGCCGACGCGCTCGACGTGGTCATCACGAACGCGCTCATCATCGACGCGGCGCTGGGGGTGGTCAAGGCGGACATAGGGATCAAGGGGTCACGCATCGTCGGCATCGGCAAGGCGGGCAACCCGGACACGATGGAGGGCGTCACGCCGGGCATGACGACCGGCGTGACGACCGAAGCCATCGCGGGCGAAAAGATGATTGTCACCGCCGGCGCCATCGACACGCACGTGCACTGGATTTGCCCGCAGATCGCGGAGGAGGCGATCGCGTCGGGCATCACAACTATGTACGGCGGCGGGACGGGGCCGGCGGCCGGCACCTGCGCCACCACCTGCACGCCGGCGCCGAGCCAGGTCGAGACGATGCTGCGCGCGACCGACTCGCTCCCGCTCAACTTTGGCTTCTCGGGCAAGGGGAACACGTCCGACCCGCAGGGGATGCTCGAGGTGATCCAGGCCGGCGCGGCCGGCTTCAAGCTGCACGAGGACTGGGGCACCACCCCCGCCGCAATCGACACCTGCCTCACCTTTTGCGACGAGCACGACGTGCAGGCGACCATCCACACAGACACGCTCAACGAGTCGGGGTTCGTCGACGACTCGCTCGCCGCCATCAAGGGGCGGACGATCCACACCTACCACTCCGAGGGCGCGGGCGGCGGCCACGCGCCCGACATCATCAAGGTCTGCTCCGAGCCGAACGTCCTCCCTTCCTCCACCAACCCGACCCGCCCCTTCACCGTCAACACGATCGACGAGCACCTCGACATGCTCATGGTCTGCCACCACCTCGACAAGGCGATCCCGGAGGCGCGCGCCGCAGCCACCGCACCTGGGGCAGACCATGAGCATGTCGAGGTGCTCGTCGATCGTGTTGACGGTGAAGGGGCGGGTCGTGTTGGTGGAGGAAGGAAGTACGTTCGGGTCGGAGCAGACATTGATGATGTCGGGCGCGTGGCCGCCGCCGGGGTAAAAGGAGTGTTATTTTTCCCTCCCCCGCCCCTAGAT